GACTACGATATTGGTTATCAGCGGCTCAAATAACCCCCATAGAGAGCTGGACTTGGGCTGTTGGTGGACTTTTTTCTTTTTTGGTTGTTCACTACTGTAAGGTTCTTACTATTTCGTTTTACTTGTTCCAAATGTGGCACGCCTTGTGCGTATTGAATAAATAAATAAATAAATAAATATACCGAGTTTGAGCAAGATCCCTCGCAAAAACGTTTTGGGGCCCGGATAGCCGAATAACGCCATTTCTCAGAATTACCCTTACTTTTATCGATTTTATTGATTTTTTGCAAAGTTTGAGCTACGGGCTGGGGGTTGTTGAGGGAGGTAGGCTGCTGCACGACGAAGGCGCAATATCTTTGAGCGCGAACGCGGCTTTAATAGCCGCAGAACACATGAGGTGCGGGATCTACAACGGTGAGGATACGCGCGCGTCGCGTTCGCGCCCTCTCAACTAATATCGCCATTGCGCCTTCGTCATGCAGCAGCCTTTAGGTGAGCATGCTGATTACTAACACAGTGGGAATAGGGAATTGCATGTAAAAGTGTGCACAGGGAAAGGCTGTACAGAGATAGGAATGGGACCTTTATTACAGTGTTTGACAGGACCTGGCGGAGCCGGGTAAGCCAGCTAGTACTCGATAATGTAGCATACATTCGTATGGAAACGCCACGTTGACAAGGTATCCTTCCTTTGTCAAATTCTTCAGTCTAGTTAGCATTTTTTTTGAAATTACACGCCGCAAAAATTATCAGGTGAACACCTTTTTGTTAATTCTCCCCGACAGACAAACGTGTGCGCTGTTATTTGCAGGGTTAAGCAAAAGGTCAGGCACAAGTCCTCCAAAAACGCCCCCCCCCTGTGAAAGCCCCTAAACGACCCTCCGCTTCACCTCCTAGTCCTTATAGTGTTATATTTTGAGGAAGACCAGCCTTCACTGCAGGTTTCTATTTTTGAAAGTCTGTAGGCCCGACTTTCTGCGATTGCACAACCACACGCAACTTGACGGCAAGTTTAAGATTTAGATAGTCCTTTTTTCGGAGCAATAATCTTCACAGGGTTGGAGTGTTTGGCTTAAAATTTTCAATATAGCAAAAGAGGCTTTGCGCTCAATACTCATATCAAAAAAGGGGCGATTTTTGAATGTTGAAGGCAAGTTAAGAGGGTCAGGCGCAACTCCTCAAAAGCTCAGGCGGCCTGACCGTTTGAGGGGTTGCGCCTGACCCCATTAACTTTATTTCCGAAAATGCTTTTCTGCCCAAGTTTTAGATTCGGTAGCCTAATCCTCGAAGATTCCACAGTAAGTGTTTGAACTTGATTCGACTTGTTTCGGCCTTGTGCTAATCCGAGAAGTTGAAGCACTCATCGTATAAAACGCGCCGGTTGGAATTTTGGCAGCACTTCTTACTTCACTGTTTGAAAGCAATATGAAGTCCGATTTGTAGCATAGACTTGTAGAGAACATTACTTTGTTATGAGTATACAAAAGCTGACTTTTCTTACTTCTGAAACCAAGTTGATCACGTTTGAAAATCACGCTTTTTAGGCGTTGAGAAACACTAGAAACTGCAGTAGGTAATGGTTTGTAGAGCGCATAGAGGTAATTTGACCTGTTGATTATGGAAATGATACCTATTTCACACAGCAAGCTTCCTTGTTTACCTCATATGTCAAGGTAAAAGAGAAGAAGATTTGGATTTTGGCTGAAACTTCCATTGTAGAAACAAACAGATGCTGTTGAAGACCGTCATTCCTTCATGTGATCGCGATATCCACCGGACTAGCGCATTTCTTCTTCACCTTCACACTATCTCCCTAACTTAATAAATTCGATTCTTAATTACAACCCCTACCCTCAGTCTTACCCTCAATACGATCCCCCAGGTCGGGCGCGCCTGACCCCACGCTCAACCCTGGTTATTTGCTGCATTATAAAGCTGACCGGGCCGAAGTAGTGTAAAGATCTCTTTGCATCTAATTTCGAGATTTCAAGCAAGACCTCCTCTACATACCGTCTGCGCCCCAGAGAGGTTCCCATGTGAACCAGCGTGCGTACGTGGTGCGACGCTGCCTTTCGCTCCTTTTGACACGTTTCTCCTGAGAATTCAACGGAAGTGCCCGAGGTTAACACGTTCAAAAGTGCGAAAGGCAGCGAGATGACGTGGTACCTATGGGAACCTCTCTGGGACGCAGATGATATAAATGCAAATCAGTCAATGCGTATGCAGGCCAAAACGTAGTAGGCGATTCATCGCACGCAAGGACAGGGCGTCACTACGGACGCTGCTATTGTCTCGTTGATCCAGCATCTTTCATCCCTCTTGCCGTCCGCTGTCTCTCCATTGCTCAAACAATCTTGATGGGACGCAAAGGCGCCCAGTAAAAGAAGAAATTTAAGTTTTGAGACTGTTCTGCTTGCGATTAATCACTTATACTTTAACAAACATTCCTTGAAGTGATTTTCGAGACCAACTCTCTCTAGAGTGATAGAAGTAATAAATTTGTCAAAATGCTAACTTAGTTGTCATGGAAAATCGGGATGCCACTAGAAAAGGAATATAGGGTCGGGAAGTTTGAATATGGGCTCCGGAACAAAAACGGCAACCGTTTCGTTGGGCTTTTCTCCCCCGTACGACTTTTCCATAGAAATTCCATCTTCATGAAGAAAGAACATCGCCGGTGGATTTGCGAATCGCCCAACGGAGCGACTCATGCTGAGATCGACCACATTCTCACCAACCGAAGGTTGAGCTTGCTCGATGTCTCTGTAGCTCCATCCTTCGAGCGAAGATACGACTCAGCCGAAGGCTGGAAAAGAAAGTCTGTCACAGTGCCGAAAGAAGGAAAAAAGTCGTTTATGACGGTAACAGTCTGGAAGACCTCATATCAAGATGTGACTGGCCCATCAACGAGGACCCAACGTACGACTAGGACCGGCTTCTGAAAGGATTGTGAGCCTGCGGAGAGTGCGCCTCAGTGATTTCTGAGAAAAACTTGGAACGCATTTTGAAGACCAGCAAGGAATTGCTCGAAAGAAGAAGATTTCTGAGCAGGATCCGAATGCAACCCATCTTGAGCGACTGATAGCCAACGCCAGTCAGAACAGCTTTGCAGGAGGATCCCACGAGGTACAGGCAAACCAAGATACTGGAAGCAGCCGAAAGAAGAAGAAGTCTCAAGGAGTGCCAAAAGGACCTCTGTGAATATCATGTACCGCTGGCTGCACCATTAAACGAAGACGGGACTCCGACGTTTCCCCGATACAAGATGGAATCTATCGCGAAGAACTTTCACACCAACCTCTTCCGCTCATCAACACCCGTGCAGATGCCCGTTGTTCCCACTGAAAAAGTACCAGCAAGGATTCTACCTGCTGAAGTGCGCACGGCGATTCAGACCATGAAGACGTCCACGGCTCCAGGACCAGACCATCTTTCCGTCGAGTTCTACGAGCCGGACGACAATGTCTACACGAGATTCTCGCGTCGCACCTGACATCTTACCTTCAAAAGGAGAGGATTCCCGACCAGTGGAGAACGTCAAGAACCGTCCTTCTTTTTAAAAAGGGTGAGCGGGAGGATCTTCGAAATTACCGTGCAATATGCCTGCTGACATGAGTTGCTGTACAAACTTTTCAGAAGATTATCCTCGCACGCATATCTAGTACGCTGGCTGAAGCCCAACCCCAAGAACAAGCTGGATTTCGCAAGGGATTCAGTTGCATGGACCACATCCAGACGGTTTCGAGGGTCATAGAAGTCTGCCGGGAGTACCGACTGCCTCTCATGCTAACCTTCGTCGACTACGAGAAAGCTTTTAACAGCATCAAAACCAACGCCATTCTGTCTGCGCTAGTCGATCAAGGAGTGGACCTAGCTTACGTGAGGACATCGGCCGACTGCTACAAGGCTGTACAACAACAATGCGGCTATTCCATCGCCCCTGACCATTCCATTTGGGAAAGGGGCTCGACAAAGCGACACTATTTCGCCGAAGCTGTTCGTTTGCAGTGGATGATAAAGTGACTGGACTGGGAAGAGAGAGCCATACGAGTTGATGGGAGATTCCTATCCAACCTTCGTTTTGCGGACGACATCGTCCTCTTCTCGAGCAGTATCACTGAAGCAGAGACGATGCTGAAGGAACTAAACGAAGTAGGGAAGAAGATTGGGCTGCGAATAAATAGGAAGAAGACTCAGTTCACGAAGAACGCCCTTTGCGAAGATGCTGAAATGGAATTGGAAGGCACCCCTGTTATGAAGAAGTCTTCTTACGTGTATCTCGGACCTTCGATGGAGAACGATTTGAAAGAGGAACTTAACAGGAGAAGAAGAGAGCATGAGCCGCCTTCGGGCCTCTGAAGGAAGCCACCGGCCAACTGACGGACTCGGATTCGTACCCACCTGTTCGACTCAACCGTTCTCCCAGCGCCCTGCTACGCAGCTGAGACTTGGGCCGACACCGTAGCCACGTCGAAAGCTTTAAGGACACCCACAGAGCACTCGAGCGCAGTCTTCTGGAGATCCGACACAAGCAGCATCTAGTCGGACTTCACAGCACGGATATGAAAAGAATGTCCCGTCTTCGCGACCCAGCGGAATACGTTGCGAAAGCGAAACACCGATGGGCCGGTCACAATGAGAAGAACAGATGACAAATGGACACTAAGAGCATCTGAATGGATTCCTCGCAAAGCCAAACGTCCTCGAGCAAAACCACCGACGAGATGGGCAGACGTGTTCGTGGAACGGATGGACCAGCTGATAAATCAGCTGGTTACGATTTTCGCCCCTGGAACTCGTTAACGCAGCCACCGACGACGACCAAAAAGATCGTGGATGTCCGAATCGAGGGGCAGGGATCAATGGAAACTTCTGTATTGGGGCCCGCACGTCACGTGAGGACGGGTCATCCAAGTATCTAAGTAAGTTGTCCTGGACTTTTTCTTTGTAACAACGAATAGGGATTACAGTTTCATGGAAGAACTAACATGTTGTTCTAGCTGGGTTCTACATTGATCTCGAAAGTATTCCTGTATATTTCCAAATGCTTCCTCATTTATCATTCTTCAAATACGCTTACGAAGCACATCTTATCGTTCTTTTATCCCCCGTTGACACAAACGACGGTAAAATCCTTTTTCATTATTGATTTCCTTAAGAATTATTATATATGAATTCTAGACTGCCTTGGAAACAAACTCCTCAACTCATCATGGACTACTTGCACATCGCAAGGCGAAAAAGTGCGAGTGGAGCAATATCAATGTGACCATAAAATTTGCTAATTCTAATTTCAGGTACTGAAGTCAATGGAACTGGATCCCAGTCGTTACTGGGTCAATGTAGTCATTTTGGTCTCAATGATGATTGCTATCAGAGGAATAGCATTGTTAGCCTTCATAATAAGAATTATCAGAAGCTGAATAGAGCAAAAACGATGTGCGATCATTTATAGTAATCCCGAAACTTTCAATCAAGATTAACCTGTTTCTATGTGCAAATAAAAATTAATAATTTTTCGTTTCAAAAGGCAATACAACAAATGGTAAAAAAAAATTCAATCTTGTAACAAGTTAGTCGCCACTTCTTCTAATGTGTATCAGTTTCCCTTAAGTTTAATGCTTACGTGCCGCTAAAAAGACATTTGGTGACATATCGCCGTTTTCATAGCAGGGTCAAGCCTGTGATGCGATTGTCGCAACGGGGGGTCGTAAGCGGGGTACCTATGGTGGAGAGGGGGTCGTAAAAGGAGGAAATTTGGATAAAATACAGTAAGCATGGAGGGAAATCGAATGGCAAATAAATACTACGTGTTCTTAACAATACATTAATGGTATGCCATATACCAATGTATCAAATAAAAACGAGTGAACAATAATTTGAAAGCATTTGCTCCGAAAGCACCTCCGACTTTTGCCCACTTTTTTAGAATTGCGATTATTTTATCTTTCGTAGTGTTTGGAAAAAGGCGATGTGTGCCAATTTCTATTGACTAGAAGTTCAAAACCTCACAGTACTGAAAATGCATAGAGAATAATCGCCGACAGCGTCCATAGTGATGCCCGTCTTTGCGTATAGGTTTTAGGCGATTCATAGCAAGCAAAAACTGCAGACTTATCGGCGTTTCTCTAGTCGTCTCTCTTAGCATCTACTGTCTCTCCCGTGCGCGAACTATCTTGGCCGGACGCAAGGGCGCCCATTCTTTGCGTATCATGAATCGCGTATACCTTTACTGATCCTGTGACACCGCAATAAATCTCACCTCAGGTTGATCAATGTTGTCGTGACGAAAGTATACTACACATGCCATAACTAAAATTTTGGTAAAACTAGACTCTCTTTTCTGTCGTATCCTTACTAACCTATGAAAAAGGCTGTGCTTTGTTGCATGATTATAAAACTCTAGTTCAATGTTCCATTAACTCTCAAGTGCAAAGTTTCCTGAAATCTTTGGAAATTTTGGGTTTACTAAGCAGTAACGCTAAAAATTAGGTTCATTTATGAAATCGTGACGACGGATTTGACTGCGGACTTTGCGCACACAGAAGCATTACACCCTTATACAAAAAGGCATCCCTCAGCGCTCAGCTCAGTCACTAGTACTTCATACCTAGCAGAAAAACCAGTCGAGTAGAGACTGAAACCAAGAAAATGCGGTTGCCACAGTGTGCGTGCGTGTCGCGCGCGTTCGCGCCATCGTCACGATTTTTCAAATGCCCTATGTTTTTTTCTATTTTTTGTGTAGGGTCATAAAAAATCTGAAACTTGCGACAAAAACCGGAGCGGCCGGTTTTACAGACTTCATTATTTGTTTTTTCTAGCTGATCAAAGTGTGTGTTGATTGAAGGTCTCTATCAAAAGTTATGATTCACGAGCAAACAATACAAAAAGACAAATTTATGTATTTTTGCACTTTTCTCGTAAAAAATCATAGCCTTTGATAAAGACGTTCAATCAGCACAAACTTTGCTCAGTTAGGAAGAGCAGGTAACAAAACCTGTCAGGTCGGCCGCTCTGATTTTCATTGCAAGTTTCAAATTTTTTATGACCCTACAAAAAGAAATTCAAAATTCGGGTCATTTTCTTCTACCGCTCCTATCTATGCAACAAATAGTTACTAATAAGCCACTAACAATAAGATAATATTATAAAGAGCTTAATTTACACTTCCAAATATTAGGTTGTCAAGAAAATAATGTCGGTTTTTATTTGCTTGCTTTAACAAAGCAATTAGACTCAACCCAACAAAGGGTAAGGGGTACTGTTCGATAGAGCAAAGCAAGCTCTACAAGATGGCACTCATGTCTTTGCGCCATGCTCAATCCACCGAGAGTTCGAACTGAAAATCTAAAGATTCCCAAATGCCCAAAAAATCGAAAAAAATCAGAACTTCGTCCAAATAATTTCTACGGACCTCCCACTCGCTCACATCAATACTATCGATATCTGATATCCATATGTGCGACTGCCGTATTTTTTCCTTGACTAGAAACTGAAAAAACGAAAATTTCCCTGATTTTCTCAAAGCAATGCTGAGCCGTTTTTGCATATGTATTAGGTTGTGTAATAAGTTCTGTCCCATTTTTTCTTTCGATTTTTTCTAAATATTTTGCGCTATGTTCTGTAGATTGTTTATACGCATTTGAAAGCTCTAAGCCTTCTCTACCAAAATTTTCATTTCGATTTCTTACATCAGATGACACGAAAAAGTTTTACAGCGTCAAATTTGGAAAATCAAACAGGGAAAAAGTCCATTTTCGACAACTACGTTACGTCGCCTTCCTGATTAGTCAGGATCCTTACGAATAAGCTCGAACAATTTGCTACACGTAAGCAAACAATGCTCTAGCTTATATTGCGCTTCAGGAGTGCTGAACATTTCAAAAATCATTTCTGTAGACTTTAGAAAATTCTTCCTTCTAACGCCTTTTCAATGTTGGTGTTGGGCTTATCTGAAGGCATTCCGAGGGGAGACGGTAGGCGGATCATCCATAAAAGACAGAAGGGATGGTTTGTGGCTTCAAAATTATCGGATTCGTAGGTTAAATACTCAAAATTCGAATTTTGGGAGCCACACAGCTTGGGTACGCGAGACGGCGAACATCGCCGTGACAAAGTCTTGCCTTGCCGACTTCTAAAAAAATGTCATTAAATAGCCGGTGGAAGGAAGGGAAATGCGCAAACTATGATAGAATAAGTGTAAAAGTCTAATAGATTGTTCTGATTATTGTCAAGCTTGTTTGATAAGTTTTACCAATAAAAATCAAGAAAAATTTGGAGGAAAAAAAATGTCGAAAATTGATTTTTCGGCTCTTTGGATTTTTTGTTTCAATGATAAAAATCTTTTTCAATTTCCTGCTATGTTGGGGAATGATGCATATGAGCCTGCAGAGCAGACTTAGAGCTTTCAAAAGCATATACACTTTATCTCAAATATAGTCAATGTTGTCAAGAAAAAACTAAAACAAGAAATGGGACGGAACTTATTACACGACCTAATAGTTCTATACAACAAGCCTAGGTAAGCATAACTGTAGGTTTTCAGCCTATTTCGAGCGGTACTTTTCGAGAAATGTCGATTTTAGCACTGAAACTGAAACGAAAAAACCGAATTCGTTATTTTTCGAAAACTACCGCTTGGAATGGGCTGAAAATCTACAGTTATACTCAACTAGGCTTGTAGTATAGAACTACATATGCAAAAAAAGCTCAGCATTGTTTTGAGAAAATCAAGGAAATTTTCGTTTTCTCAGTTTTTAGTCAAGGAAAAAATACGACAATCGCACAAATGGATATCAGATATCGATAGTATTGATGTGAGCGAGTGGGAGGTCCGTAGAAATTATTTGGACGAAGATCTGATTTTTTTCGGTTTTTTGGGCATTTGGAAATCTTTAGATTTTGAGTTCGAACTCTCCGTGGATCGAGCGTGGCGCAAAGACATGAGTGCCATCTTGTAGAGCTTGCTTTGCTCTATCGAACAGTACCCCTTACCCTTTGTTGGGTTGAGTCTAATTGCTTTGTTAAAGCAAGCAAATAACAACCGACATTATTTTCTTGACAACCTAATAAAAATGACACTGTTGAAATCGGCTGGAAAAATCAGAAGGTATGGATTTTTAAATGTTATGCAAACGAACTTTTGGGACGAACTAAATACTAGAGAAACAAAAGTTCGTTCCTACCATCTTTGAAAACTTATAACTTCCTTATTTCTTAACCGATCTGCACATGTTCATTTTTGCTTGGAAGAGGAATTCGTGCTCTTTCCATGCCTGAGGAGTAGGAGCAAGCTTCAGAGATCGAAGCCGGTGAAGGCAAACATTTCAATTCAAATTTCCTGTGTTTAGACGCAAAAGATCTGAAAGTTGCAGCAAAAATCGAAGCACGCGGTACAATAGCTTATACTAACTGCTCTTTCTGACTGTAGGAAATTTTTGCTGGTTGAACGTCTTTACGAAAAGCTATGTTTTTTTAGCAAGCAGTAAAAATCAGAGAATTTGATTTTTTGGTATTTTCTTGTAGTAAAAAAAAGTCAGAACTTTTCATAGAGAAGTTTTAATCAGGACTTTGAACAGTCACAAAGAGCATTTCTGGAAACCTATAATTCCGACCTAACCGCTCCTATTATTGCCTTCAGATATTTTACGAACAAACACAGAAGATTTGATAAGAATTCTCCGGTTTCTATCTCCAAAGCTTGCTTACACTGAAAGATACTTCCAGTAAAATAGAAATTCCTCTCTCAAATAAAACAAATATGTGCAGATGAAGATGTGGGAAGTATTTGCGAGTGAACTTTGTGAATTTGTTTTTCAAGGGGGACAGAGGGCAAAATTCTTCGGGTTCATGGGCATGTAGCCGCTTCTATCAAAAGAAGTTTCAGAAATAGTTAAATTTTTGCGATTTCAGTTCTTCTATCCCCCTTTTTTAGTAAAGCATGAAGTGAGCCGCACCTTTGAAAACTATTCACAAGGCTAGTTTGTATTGAAAATGTTTGAAAATTATTTTATCATTCACAGAGAGCTTCTGGACCACTATAGAAAATCTTGAGATCCATTATTCCCCCCCCCCCCCTCTTTCTTCGGATATATTTCTACCGCAATTCTTTTCAATCTTCGGATAAGAAAATATCGTTTTACGAGGTGTGCGTATTGTGATAGGACATGTATGAGTGAGAGAGGAAACATATCAGAAACAGAGAGGAGAAAGATAGATGATCGAAAAGCAGTGGCGGTGTGAGAATTTTTTTCAAAGGGGGGAGGGAAGAACAACAATTTTTTTTCGGGTTCATGAGCATGTGGCCTCCAGCAAAAGAAAATTCAGGAATGGTTAAACTTTTGCGGTCCCATTTTTGCACTCCGCCCCCCCCCCACCCCCAATCTTTTACCACTCGTCTGAAAATACAACTACTTAAAATCCGAAAATCTTTGAAAATTTCGTTATTCACTTAGAGCTGTAGATCATTTGGAAAGATTTGTGACCCCTTATCTCCTCCCGCTTTTAATAAAATTAAATTCACTTCTGCTTTGTTCTAAATTCAACACATATCTACAAAGTGATAGTTTCAAATTATTAGAGTATATTTCAATCAAAGCAAAAAAGCAAAGAAATTAGACATATCTGAACAAGAGCGTTGTGCTTAAATGAAGTCCCTCCGTTGAGTCCTTTTCCAGCACTCCAGCAGATTGGTGATGATTGTTCACATACATGCACCAATGCTTGCAGGAGTATTTAGAATATGGATAAGTATAGGTTCGCTTACACCAGCATTGAAGAAACAAATAAAAAAGAGAAAGAAAAGAAGAGAAACAGGAGCGAAACAGTAGGGAAAAAAGAGCAATGGGCTATGCGCTGTTGATTGCTGAAGATGCGTTCGCTATTTCGCAATTGCAAGCGCACCTGCTCTCAAAATGTTGCGGAAACCTCACGAGCCTTATCACATTTTCGCAGCGCTTTATGGAAGTGCTGCGTAAGTTCCGGCTTACGCTTGGTCTAACGTGAATTTCCTGCGGAAATCCCGCATAATGGAGTGTGCACTTTCTCAATGGTTAAGAAGGTGCTGCAGAGTCGCTGCAAGTTTTGCTTGTCCTGCGGAAGTTCCGGTGAATTGTCTGAGATACTGAGAAATAGGCGTCACAAAATTCGTTTACCGCAGTCACAGAACGTGCACTTGGCATCCCGCCAATAAAATGCCGTTTGCGAATTCACCTTCGATTCCTTTGAAGTTGTTAGGATTTTTTTGTAAGCGTGGATTGTGCATCATGCTTTTACATCAGTATGAGGCAAAATATTCTATAGTGGTGTTTCTTCTCCCTCTGATTTCCAGTGAGACATTTTTCACTTTTGGTAGTCCTTGAACACTTCTCCTTTTTCTACTACATCCCCTTCTGTGATTGCTGTGAACAGTGCATAACGAGTAAACTTTTCATGTTCTTCACTTATTTTCTATATGTGTAAATTTTTATAGCTGGGAATCTAATCCGGCAAGGAGCGGTTCTTTGGCTCGCGTTGTGTTATGTCTCGCTCAGTTTCAATTCCTTTGCGGGACAGTGTTGAAGATGTGAGTTTTCTCTCAAGCCTTTTTCTTATCGATTCTTACCTGAAATGAATTTATTACGTTTCCTCCCACTTATTGTCGTAAGCGCGCATTTCAGTTTAGGCGGAAAATCTGAAGCGACTGCGTCGTTTTTGCATAGAGATATGGAATCTAACGCAGAATTGGGTCTCTACCTCTTCTCAGTCGTGTACAGTGCTTGAGCATCTGATTAATAATAAGCTGCGGATAATGTACGCTAACTCTGATCAAGAGCAGAAACTCGTTGGAGCTGCTGAAGGTGCAGAAACCGTTGTTCTGGACCATGATACGAAACAACGCCTGCTTCGTGAGATTGTCAAGGATGCCGAAAGTCTTTGCGATTCAATGAAAGAGCTGGAAAGGGTCGTTAACAAGTTTCGCACTGCAAAGACTCGCGTGGAATCCTGGGTGAAGCTTTGCACGAAGCCTGGTCCGGTCACTGCCAATATTCTGAACACCCTTTCCGATGCTTTACCAGACGTCATAGAAATGTACGATAAGGAAGTCAGCGCTAAGAAGGCTGGACTGGCTGACTTAGGTCAGTGGGAGCATCGCGATGTCTTCATGGCTGTTGCTCTAACATACAAATTTGAACCGTTTGTAGATAGCAGTGTTCTGTCTAGATTATATGCCCTAGTGTGCACTGAAATGTGACGCACAATTTTTTGTTGTCTTTTGGAATGAAGAATTCGAGACCTTTTTTCCCGCTTTCTTGCTTTGGATACTTACCGTACCTTCCTATCAAGTCTGACTTTCCTGCAGTCTAGCTAGGAAATCCAAAAGAAATCAATCTTATGTATTTTTAGGAAATAATAGAGATCTCCTTCGATGCTTTACCTGAGGGAGATGAAGTACTCGAGATCTTACGTGCGGAAAAAGCCTCTCTTCATTTCTGGATAGACCTAGGGGTGAGTAAAATTAGTTTCGCATAGGCTTTTAACCGCTTTTTGCTTTTTCTCAGCGTTTTCAAAGTCGATTTTTTGTTAAATGTTTTTGATTATCTTTTGTTTTGCAAACTCTTGTTCAATGTTCGCCTTTCTTGTGATGTCTTGTGATTGCTTTTATCGCTTTCTTTCTGTCTTGCGCTACTGCCAGCTTTGCTCAAAAGCGCCTAAATTTTTCTAATTCTCTGATTTCTCCTCAAATGAAAAAGTGAAGAGACATTAGAGAAATTTGGGCGCTTTTGAGCATATTTGAGCGAAGTCTGGCCAAGGTCTTGCTTCTACCATCTACCTTCTACCATGCCGACAGACTTTCTTGTACTGTTATTGCAATCTCTGTAGATACAGTAATTTTTGCTGGTGGAAAATTACCTGACACATCTTGTTTGAGCACTTCCACATCTCTTTTTACCTAAACGCTTTTTGGAATACTCAAGATTGTTAGCATCTTATGTAATCCGTTCGTTCCTTTGAATCTGCACCGTCTGGGGGATATGTATCAATCGCCCGTCCGGTAATTTACCCGGACAGGTAGTTTCCGCTTTGTAGCTCGGTCTTTGGGGATCTGTGTTTTTCCTAGTTTGTTCATTTTTGAAGGCCCTACTACCCTAATTTTGTAGCACAATGAGTAGCAGCACTTTGCTGTATAAGCTGAGATTATTCGTTGTTTTTATGATCCCGAACGGGATCTCTCACTGATCACGGTCATTCAAAGTCATTTATATCCGCAAAAACTCAATGAAAACGTCACAGAGTTCTGCTGTCGATTTGTTACGACAGTGCTACGCATGTTTGTGAAAGAAATAAGTGAAAAATCAAGATGACAAAGTCTTCGATGAACCTGTGCTCGCGATTTGGGTTTTATGGAAAAACTCAAAACTTGCACAATTCATGTGTGCTACTAAAAACATGCGTAGCACTGTCATATTAGATCGACAGCAAAACTCTGTAACGTTTTCATTGAGTTTTTGCGGATATTGATCAGTGGGAGATTTCGTTTGGGATCATACAAATAACGAATTATCTCACCTTATACAGCAAAGTGTTGCTATTCATTGTGCTACAATATTAGGATAGTAGAACCTCCAAAATATGAACGACAAGCAAGGACACAGATCCCCAGAGCAGCATATGAAGCGAAAACTACCTGTCCGGGTAACTTACCCGGACGGGCGATTGATACGAACCGCCCCTGATTTTGCTTCCCTATATAGGAACAGAAGTGGGCGAGTGATTATTTTTCAATTTTTGCTACGCACGAGTTCCGGCTCGCTGCTGAACAAGAGAGCTGGCTATTGGTCACTATTAAGCCTTTCAATTTTTCATGTGTTATGCTTCACTGAAGCGTTGTGACTGTTACCGTTGCTTAGTCACATCATATTGCTTCCAGTAAAGAAGCGCATAGCGTTTTTATAAAAAACTTGCGTGACTATCAGTACGCTAATCTAAAGAAAGAATTATATTTGGACTTTGGCATAACTGTGCGAACGTCTTCTTCATAAGAAGCTTTTGTTATTGTATAACAGTATTATAACCTTTTTCGGCCAAATAACTGTTTTTTCTGACCTTTTTTGTATGTTCATTTGGAATTAATTTGAAGGAACAACGTCTGCTCTTACTGATTCAATCCTTCGTTTTCAGTTAGAATATTATCGTTCCGGTCGAGTAGATGACTTCGTTAGGTTACTAGAAGTTTCTGGAAGTGAAGCGTCTTTGGACTATCCTGAAGTGGAGAATGATCAAATGCGGGCTTTGGACATACTCGCTGCTTACTACGTCAAACTGGTACATCTGACCTTTTACCTGGCACTGATATCATAGTAATGCTGTGAATCACGCTTTAGGGTCACAAAGAGCGAACTTCGAAAGAAAGAAAGCGCGATTTGTTTTCTAAAGCGACGTTGTTGTATACGACTGCAGATAGGATAAAAATGTATGATATGCCACATCTTACTGGGCGGGCGTACTTCTGTCTGGTGGAAGCACGAGCGAGCAAAGTGGATCAGGCCGATCAGCAGTTCAATTTTGTTCTGAAGCAGGTAATACATAAATTTCTGCAACCTGATGACGGAACAGAGTGTGGCCATGAGACTAGAAGCATATTGAGATTTTTGCAGGATGCATATGATATACCAGCAATGATGGGTAAGGCTATAATTGCCTTCAGCAAACAAGATTACAAGACCGCTTTGTATTTTTCAAAAAGGGTATGTGCTTCTTGTCCAGCATAGATGTTAATTCATATTTTCTCTTTCTAGGCCCTGAGGCAGAAGCCAGATGGCCCTGCTGACATGAGAGTTGGTATCGGTTATTGTTTAGCGAGACTAGGACTGACTGATAAGGCTAGGTAAGCAAGTAAATGTGAAATGTTTGAATCACATAGCTTCTTCTCTACTGTTTATGTGACTTTCAATTACAACTTGCAGAATCGCTTTTGAACGAGCGTTGGAATTGCAAAATGACAATGTTTGTGCTCTCTCAGCACTTGCCATTTTGGATTACAATACGCATACTGTCGAGGGAGCCCAAAGTGCAGTGGCTTGTCTAGGTCAAGCGTATAGTCTGGAGCCGGAGAATCCGGTTGTCTTGGTCCATCTTGCCAACCACTTCTTCTTCAAAGGAGTTAGTGCAGAATTTTTTTCAACTTAACTACGATTTACCTATAAAAGGGACCTTTCAAATTTGTCCAAGCTGTTACATCGAGGTGTTTATCGCTTTATCTGAAGGCATCACTTTTTCAGGAAATGAACAAGGTTGAACGGTTAGCGTGGCATGCAATGAGTATGACGGAAAGTGACGAAATCAAGGCCGAAGCTTGTTACATTCTTGCGCGGTTTTTCCATTTCAACAGGGACTATGAAAAGGCGTTCAAGGTAAGTTGCATATGCAAGAATCTCAATCCATGTCATCATCGTGTCCTAGTACTATTATCAAGCAACTACGTTGAATCATCCTACTTTCGTTTTGCCCCAGTATGGTCTTGGACAACTTTATATAATGCGAGGAGAATATAATCAGGTAATTCTTACTATCTCACATATGACTTCGTGAAACTTGGGTTTTTCTTATTTCTCTTTATTGATATCGGTTTTTAGGCAATTGCTGCATTTGAAACCGTTTTGAAGTCGATGCCCAACAACGTTGACACCATGAAAGTACTTGCTGCTCTGTATGCTCACACGGACCCAGGGAATCATGTCGGTATTTTTCTTTGTTGTTCGTAAATAATTTCACTTTTTGTGTCTATGTAGTATTAGGGTGATTCAAAAGTAATGGAGCACTTTGATTTTTTAAACATTCTTCAAGATCTCTTTCTGATTAGCTTTGAACAACCAGCAATTTGAACGTTTTTGTATAAAGTGACCTTCGTAGATTATCTTGACAGCACCTTGCAGCACCTCACCGACATTCCTTCGAGCGGCGCTTCAAAGAAGTCGGACAGACTTTTTTGAACGCCATCCAAATTTGTGCTGCTGCACCTGAAAGTCCCTCGACATATGGCATACCATTCGAAAGAACTTTCCAAGCTCTTTCTAATGGCTACTTGAATATTCAAAAATTGTCCATTATTTCATACGTAAAAGGCGCTTTATTCGAAAAATGCGGTGTTTGGCGCAGATTTTCAGACTTTTTAAAATGAGCAAACTCGAAGTAATTTGCATATATATATATGTATATATGTATATATGTATAGAGCATAAAAAACACTATCAGAAAGCAACTGTTAAGGTTGAGCTTATCTGATACCTTGATGAAAGAATAAGTAATATGTCTCCTGATACCCAATGCTATATCTTTTGTTCTAGAGCCTTGGGACCACCGAGCTATTGTGCATTTGGTGATAGTCCCCTCACCCATTGCTGCGCACGTATCTTTGATAGGCTCTGTGTTCTACTGCGGCGCTGCTTCTCAAAGTTCAAAATTACTTGAAGTGATGAGCTTTAATTTTGAGCGCTTATAAAATAACGCGACACGTGACAGTGCCCAACTATAGACCTCGATTAGAAGGTTCTGCTATGTACTAACATCTGCGAAAACTTGGACTTCCACTTAGCTCTTCTGTTCGAGAAAACGGCATTTATTCTCTAGGTGCCCCATTACTTTTGGCTCACCCTAATATTATCACTTTTCCATTGGTAATTTTTCGCATTTGCAAATTGCTATTTCCCGTATTCCGCTGTTTTTGTTAGTGCACTTCGCCGTAGCCTTTGCACATCGGCTCATTTCTAACCAGATATTTACAAAATTGTTAGGGAATACGCTGCATAAGTATTTTGGATTCAGGATCGGCAGGACAAGGCAAGAGATATGCTAACAAAAGTCTTGGAGGCAACTCCAAACGATGTTGAAGTTTTGATAGATCTTGCTCAGCTTTTGGAAGGAGTTGATCCGCATGTTAGTTTACATCATCAAATACATTTTGCGAGTTTTGTCAACCGGCTCTTCTAGAAATCGCTCACTCTCTATGAAAATGCTTGTGATCTGATAAAAACGAGTGAAGATGGTTTACAAATTGATCCGCCAGCTGCTATCTTAAACAATATCGGAGCCTTGCACATGACTTTGGAAAATTATGAAAGAGCGAAGGAGTACTTCGAAGCAGCGGAAGCCAAGCTTCAAGTAAGTTGCATGTGCTTAGCTTCACTCATTCTCTTCGTTCGTTACAGGAAGATTTGGAAGGAGATCTGTGCGATTCGAAACTTTCTTCCTATGTCATCACTATGAGATACAACCTCGCTAGATGTTTGGAACACTTGTGTTTGTTCGAAGATGCTGAAGTTTTATACAAAGGCATTTTGAGAGAACAAGAAAATTACACGGATTGTAAGTCTTTTCAAATTATCATTCTGTGCACTCATTCTAGTACATCATATTGCAAAGGTTATCTTCGTCTCGGATGTCTTGCACGCGATCGAGGACAGATTTATGAATCATCGGTGTGGTTCAAAGAAGCGATGTCCGTTGATCAGAACAATGCCGATTCATGGGTGCTTATCGGAAATCTGCACATGTCTAAACATGAGTGAGTAATGAGCTTTGTTTTGCTTCTGTCTGATCAATCTTCTCACAGATGGGGACCTGGTCAAAAGAAATTTGAACAAGTGTTGAATAAGATGGATAAGGAAGATGCTTACTCATGGGTCTCACTAGGCAACGTCTGGATGGAGATGCTCTTTAATCTGGGCAGAAAAAAGACTGACGACCGTGTAAGTACTGTACCATCGTCTGATTGTTCTTCTGCGATTACAAGAACCCCCAAGCGTTTTTCTCCTTGATTTTCACGTCTTTCCTGAACAGTCATCTTTACAGACCCAAGAAGGGAAGTACATGGATAGAGCTCTACAGATGTTTGGTAAAGCGTTGAAAATTGAGCCAAAAAACATCTGGGCAGCAAATGGAATAGGTACGTTTCATATCAGGAACAAATGACTAATTTTCTACATCTTTTTCGACCAAAAACCGTGTATTTTGGTTTAGGCTGCGTATTAGCATCGAAAGCAATGTGGCAAGATGCCCGTGACATCTTCGCTCAAGTTCGTGAAGCTACCTCGGAATTCGAAGATGTTTGGATGAATATAGCTCATGTGTATATCGAACTTGGACAATATGTCCCTGCTTTGCAAATGTGAGTTTATGGTCCTCGCTGTTTTGTTTCATTTTGCACAGAATGCTTTTTTGATCTTTTTGTCATTTTTCCACCATGTTAACACCATATGCTTATACTGTGGTGTTACAAGGTTCTTTTTGCAGAACTAGGAAATTATAGCCGCTCAAGTGTTAGTATGCATACGTTTCAGCTGATTTTGATTGAGACGGACTGCTTTTTTTGAATATCTTATCTCTAACTCCTAGTATGGTTTTTTGTAATATGAATTAAATGTTGTACGTATGCTTACCGAGTCGATCGACTTTTTATCAGACGTTGCAGTTCCTCACTATATCGTTTTTGGCTTGAAACCTCCTCACGACCTTAGGGACGACTCTTTATATGATCTAGTATGAATCATTAATTTAGGTATTCTAATGCCATCAAGAAGTTTGAGAAAGAACAGGATCACCAGTGCTTGCTCTATCTTGCTCGAGCATACTTCAAAGCAGGAAAGCTGACGGAAAGTCTTCATACTTTAGAAAAGGTAATCAAAAAACTCGAATCTGATAAATTACACTACTTTTTCTAACATTACAGCTCTTGTATTCAGGCTATGTTTGAAGCACCAGATAATGTCCTCATCAAGTTCAACTATGCTTTTGTGCTCAAACTGCATTCCACCGAAGTTCTTCAAGAAGTGAAGTCAACTGCAGCACAAGTGAGAGGTGCGATGGATGATCTGAAAACGGCAGAACGGTAAGTTATTCACGACTGTTTTGCTGTCAGTATTATTTTCCCCTACTTTAGGATGTTCTCCTTTGTTGCCGGTAACAAGGACGAGACATTGTCCGGAGGGCGATACGTTTCTCGAACGCATGCTGGTGAAGAAGCGAGAGCTTGCGGTGATTTGCTGAAACAAGCTCAGACGTACTTGGTCAGAGCACAGCAGAGGGATGAAGAGGATGAGAGGCAACGGGCGAAGCAAAACGCTGTAAGTATTAGAATCAACTTATTTTTTTCATGATCTATCTGCCCTTACAGGAAAGAGAGGCTCTCAGACAGAAAATGGCTCAAGAAATTGCGGAACGTGAAAAGGAACTGCGAGAGAAACAGGCGAATATGGCGAATATGAGAAATGAATACGTGCAAATGACGAAGAATCTGTTACGGATACCAGAGGTTTGCTCTTTTTCTATATTATATTTCTATATTATAGTTACTGGAGCAGGGGTATATAATATAATATATAAGGAATCGTAAGCGCAATTCAAAAATGTGCACATAGCGGGAAATCACGTGGGGTCCCGTAGCGCGCGCATGCTACTAGCACCTTCAATTGCTGGTTCACTAGTTTGTCATAGAATCATAAACCCCGATCTGTGAATTATCATTTCTCAGATATTAAACACATCACCATTTGTTGCTAAAAAGTAAACTTCAGCTTGTTGAAGAAAAGAAGGGACGTGGAGGTGGTGGAGGCCGACGAAAGAAAGGCGAGGCCGGAGACGAATTCGTCAACGACAGTTCAGATATGGGTAGCTGGCATGGAGGAGAGGGTGGAGAAGAAGGCGGCGAAAGACGGAAGAAAGATGTGAGAGTCATTATCAGTGATTAGAACGTTCTTATTGCAGCATGTCTGTTCTAGAAATCAGCGAAGAAAGCATCCAGGAAGCGAAGAGAAAAGCGAGCCGCTGGTGCCGGTAGTGGCTCAGAAAATGAAGATGAAGCGCGTGAAAGACGACGTAGAAAGAAAGAATCCGCACAGAGAAAAGCTGAAGCGAAATTGTCGCAAAAACAGCAATCGAAGAGTATGTCTGAGCAACCGCTATAGTACGTTCATGAAAAATTTGGTGTTCAGTCAAAAGTCGTGCGTTCTTGTCATCCGATGACGATTCTTCCGATGGCGGCGCTCCAGCGCGTGCTCCCAAGGAGACAGGTGAAGATAGTCCTAGGCCGCCAAGAATCACGGACTCAGAGGATTCCGATGACAGTGCACCTCGCCATCGACGGAAGAAGGTCTGTCTTGGTATTGCTTTAGCTCTTTAATTCCACTCTTTTCAACTCATTATCAGTTTTTTTATCTTTTTTGCCTTGCTTAGGGTAGAAAGTTTCTTCTGCTCTATCGTTTTCATCTTACATTATAACTAAGATTATTCGGGAACGCTCCGAAACTATCAGAGGAACATTTTTGAATAAAAAACATTTTCCAGAACGTACATCTCCTTATCGCAAATATTTTCTCAGAATGAATTAAGGTGTTTACATATAACTTTGACAATGATTTCATGTCGAAGTGCGAATAACTTAGTCACTCGCTCGTATAATTTCATGTTTTCGCGTATAATCATGAGTTCGTCTGTAGATTACGATAATCTCACGGTTTCTGGTCATTTACAAGATAACTCAAATTGTACAAATCACACAAACGTCATGTTATCATGCAATATGTATTGCTGTTTGAATGATCGGATTTATTTGAGAATGTCATGGATTCGGACGATGAGCAGTCTGATAGCGGATCTGGTGGTAGACCGATCATTGGAGCATCGGATAGTGATAATGGATCCCCTGCTGAAAGGACCCCAGACAGCAATGCTGGGAGCGACAGTGATGCATCACCACGAAAAAAGAAGAAACAAATTCAAAGCGATGGTGATAGCGACTAACCAAGTATCACTTATAAGGTTCTTCTCACATTTTTGGTTTTCTGGTTGTTTAACGAATCTGTTGATTTTTTTTAATCTCTCAGTACTCCTCATTTTCGTTCTTAACGTTTGTTTTCCGAGATGCTGGAGCGCAGTATCTGTTTCGTACGTGTACCTGATGTATAGATAGGGTAGCCAAGCATGTGACCAGGCATTTCCTTTTTTACCTTCTCAACAATTCTTTTTCTTGTAAAACATCTGTGTCCTATAACACGCCGAACATCGTTTAATTCTGTGGTGATTTTTCAAAAAATTTGTATCTCGGATGTTTCCATATTAGGACTATGTACAGAAATTATTATTGTTGTGAGATTGAAATGAGCTAAAAAAAATTTTTTTTTCCAAATTGCCAGTCTGATTAAGTATAAATATGTCGTTATTTCTGTCATCTGCTTTTTTCTTCATGTTCTGTCACAACTATATCTGCCATGAGAAATTATGGTGCGCTTTCTTTTCGACTTCTTACTGCTCCCGGTATCCGTGCGAGAAGTAGCACTGATCTTTACTGTAATAATCTGAGTAAAGCTTCCTCAAGGAGGATAATTTTTGCACTTATTTACTCTTTACTGCCAAATCTCCCTAGAACTAGTCCGAAAAAGTTGAAAAACAACGTTTATTAAAAAAGAAATAGAAAAAGACGAAAGTATGTACAATGAACAAACAATGAACAACATCATGTTTGACTACAATAGTAATAATCGCGTAATGAACACTGTCACCAACCAAACCCAAACTGCTGACAGGAGTCGACCACTGGAAGCTGTCGCTCTGGGCACACCACCACCTTGCTCGATAGCCGAGTCATTCAACAAAGGTAACGCTTGAGTGGTTGGTATTACCTCCACCTCATCCAGAATACCTAGAAGCATTAGGTAAGCTTCGCATTCTAATTTTTAGTTGTAAATTTGTAATCTGGTGCATAATGATTTGGGGAACCATAGCAAGGAGTTAGTAATAAAGCGGTAACTAAAGAGATCTATGTTGGATTAAGTGTTCCCCAGGTGGAGCTCTAATTAGTGAAAATGATATTGATACTTGGGTGGAACGTTTGAAGATAAATTGTTGGTAATGTGCCTCACTTATTATTCTGTCCCTAGCATGTTGGTTTCTGTATATTTGAAAGTTTATCTTTTTCTTCATGAACGGAATGCATCAATCTTCCCACTTGGACGCGCTCTCATTGTGCATAGTTAATTACCGATCGGGGAGTCAAACTATATCTTTATCGAGAAAAGAGCTTGCTTTGTTTCTCTATATTCCATACAATTGTTTCTCTATAATCCATACAAAGGGAATACTGAAACTGTGTTTGCGAATTCTATATCAGAAGCTATCTTTTCTGGACGAAGTTATAAGCCATTAAAGACCATTATTTTGCGTAGAAATTATGCGTGAAATAGAAAATTTAGCCGTACAGAGCCTTGTTCGCCTCAATGCTGAGCCAAAACATGCAGCTAGCTTACTTAAAATTTTTGAAGCCAGAAGCCGAGCTAAAAGTGCACAATGTGCTCAATTTCGCTCTTTTTATGTATGATTTTTTCACAATAAAACCGCTAGTAGCTTCGTCCACAGAAGCGGGAAGCAGATAAGGAAGACAGATTCGAAGTCAGCGTTTTATACTGCATCGAATGATGTACAGCTTGTTTGGTTTGGCCACTTCGACTTCTGACCATTCCCTTGTGAGTATAAAAATACAACTGATGAAGATGTTAAATACCATACCAAGGGGTTCCCAATAAAAGAGCAAAAGCATTTGCAAATGGCCATAAATTCAAATACTTCTATCTAGTAGGTCCTGCTGCCCTCAGATTCTACGTACCTTTGAAAGTTCTCTTCACTGAGAAGTGTATTGTTTAGTGCGCGGAGAATTTTACACTCAAACCTGTCTTTCCACCAAGATTTTGCACGTAGCTGGTTTGCCTAATTGTTTCTTGTAGCAATTTTTACAATGTAGCTACGCTATTGTTCTCGTTCATCATGTGGGCAATGCGCATGATCAATATCAAAAGTTTGGAAAAGGAAGTTCCGCTGTGCAAAATTTGAGATCACTGCATATATCTCCTTTATTCATTTGAAATAAGAAAAGAAAGTGGGTCTAAGTGTGATTACGTCACGAGATTGGTAGCAGTTAATACACTGCGCGACTCAAGACCGCTATCACCCGCGCCTCGGTGATCAAGTGCACCGGTCCCGTGGTGTAGCGGTTAGCACTCAGGACTCTGAATCCTGCGACGGGAGTTCAAATCTCCCCGGGACCTTCGCTTTTGCGGGTGCACAGTGATTGATAAAAATTCAGCATAGAGCGGTATATCAATGCAGAGGTACTTAATTTTGACTTTTCCAGAGTTTTCTCAAGTAGTTGAAGAGAGAAATATGGTTTCATGTTAGTTTTTGCTACGCAAGTGTTGAACAAACATAAAAAGCAAGCTAAAAGCCCCTCCGCTCAGAAGATTTCCCACCTCCTACCCCCTCTCCCCCCCCCCCCCCCTCGGAAAAAAACTTTTTTGACTGCTATATTGAATTGTGGGAATTTATTTGAGCCTGGATAAAATGCTCTGAGTCTTGCTCATGGATCTGTTTCTTCTTCCCGCCCCTTCTCCCTCCCCTCCCTTCTTCCCCGTGCTTGCAGAAGTTTTTTTAAGGATCAGTGGCTACAAATTCCTAGGATTTCTAACTGAAAAAATAAGCAAGCTGAAAAGTCCTAGCTCAGAATATTCTCTTCGGCCCTCTCCCCCCCCCCCGCCTCCTTTTACGAAAAGACTTTTTTGTGACTAATATTTAGTGGTTTGTGTGAATTTTTTTGAGCCTAAATAAAATGAGCTTAAGTTTTTGCTCAAAGATTCGCTGCTGCTTTCATTTATTCTCCTCCTTCCCCCCTTTCTTCCCTGCGTTTATACAGAATTTTTTCGTTAATTGCGCACAAAATCTGGTAATTCGATTAGGCATAAAAACTGTGCAAACCAAGGAGCCTTCGGTTTGGGGATTCCCCCCCCCCTCACTCTCCCATTTTTACAAGAGAACTTTTTCTGACCGCCTCTTATTGAATTGCTTGGGCAGACACAAAATGCGTTAAGGAAGGTTCGCCCAGAAAATTCGTTCCTTCCTTCTTCCTTTTCCTGCTTTCTCGCTTTTGCGGAGATCCCTATGCCGCTACGTAGAGTTGTAAGAGTTCAGTTCAACACAGATAAGGAAAGCAGATTCACATGCAAGGCAAAAGAGAGAGATAGCTAACGAAGGCAAACTAAGCCGAACCGCGTCTATAGGATACCGATGACTCCGCAGGCGACCCGTTCCCCGGCATTGCCCGTGGTCTTGCTCTGCTCCGAGTTTCCCCGTCCGAGATCGTCCGCATCGGCATGAATCACAATGGCTCGACCGATTATATTGTGCTGTCCTGTTAGTGAAATAACAGAGTCCGAAATGCTGATCGGAGTATCGCCGCTGTCCTGAAACGAATTTTATTTCGATACTTGCTCAGCGTATTTCCTTTATCAAATTAACGGTATGACTTGATTACGCGTTCGGAACAAATTATTCAAGGTTATCTATCTCTTCTCGTTCTGGTTCTATTAGCGTTATGTTGCGTAAGACATTTAGGTAATGGATGTAATCGTTGATAAGTAATCTTGCGCAGAAAATAGTCGGAAGTTCAGAAGGATGTGATGTCACCGTAGCAGTCAAACGAGAAAAAAAACTAAAGCATTTCTACGGCCAATTGGCTGCAACATGTGATTTTGTGTTGTCAGAGCTAAGGCGCAACCGGATTTCCTGCTCTTGATGATACTTCAAAGACATGTATTGTTTTGAAAATCATTCATGACTGCGCCTTGTTAGGACGGTGCTTTGTTCAGGATAATTTTTACTAGTGAAGAGTCAAGAAATGAAGTTTTTCTCACTCCTGGTACAAAGCTGGATCAAGTCCTTGCAAATCCCTCAAGATATCCTGTTTCTTAACATCAGTGTAAAGCAGGTGATCGGATGTAAGGAGGGGTAATAATTTTTTTCATAGTGCGCCGTGAATGCTGCAAATGTTTTGCGCGAGTTTTTGAGTCCGATAGATGAATACCGCTCTATTGAGAAACGGCGCGCACTCGCCCGTTTCATGTGGCATCACCATAGCTTGGCCATATCTCGGTTCAGAGTAGACGAATTCCTAATCCAAGAGCCCCTTGGACACTGTAGGAGGTCACATTCCAAGAATCATTTCAGACTTTTGCTTACGGTAGGTCGCTCAGTGTGCTTATTCACGGCACTCACTGGGCAATGTACCGTAAGCAAAATCTGGAACGATTAGTGGAGTCTGGCCTCCTACTGTGTCCAAACAGGCACTTCCATATACCAGAAGATGCGCCGCGCTGAGCTGAGTTGAATGGTGCTTTTGGATTAAAAATTCGTTCACTCTGAAGCGAGATATGACCATGCTATGGTGAGTCACATGAATCGGGCGACTGTGCTTCGTTTTCCAAGAAGATACGAGCCGTATTGTAAGTTGTGAGGAGAAGTGCAGATACTCAATACGAGATTGAACCAGTCTTGTGCAGTCTCAAGAAATTATGATGACGAAAATGTTAGAATCGGTTAATAACCAAGCAGTACAGAACATTTTGCGGTGCCCAAAATAATTTTCTAGCTAGTAAACTTCCATCGAATAGAGAATTCACAGCTAAAAACCTTTTTCAATTCAGTATCAAACGTTGAAACATATTTGGTGGATATCCGCGTGAATCACTGAAGACTAGCTAGTGACCCCTGCGCCGCTCTATATGTCTTGAATGACTAATGGATGGGTTCGTATGAATAGTGCTGCGTGTCAGGAAACAAAAACTTGCACTCGTTCCCATTCGATCACTTTGACTTTCCCTAGCCTCTTTCGTCATCATGTTCTGAATCAGGGCTCGGCACGAGGTGGCTTACAAGCAAGCTGGGTATCGTTTTTGGGATGAAAAGCAAAGGGGGTTTCGTTTTTGTGACCGAAGACACACGCAAAATTGGCGATTTGGCGACGTTTTTTTTAGTCGACGTTTCGTTTTTTGAAGGATTTTTAGGGAAAATGGTGGGGGGTCAAAGGGGACTTCGTAAAAATACCCAAAAGTCAAGGGGGACTTCGTTTTTCGCATTTTCATCTAGCCACCTCGTGCCGAGCCCTGTTCTGAATTCTTCCAGTGTTCAATTACAGAAAGCGCTAGTGAAATATCAAAAGCTAATTTCCTCAACGGTGCACATCTCAAGTGTTCAAATGAACTTCGGTGATCCTGCTTACCGATTGTAGACGAGTGAATAATTGAGCTTAGTTAACAATAGTTACTAGTAACGCAATAACTCATGACATACGACTAAGGTGGCAGCCCCCCCCCCTCTTCCCCCATCCCAGAAAATGGGGCGCATATGTTCATGTTGTAGTGATTATGCGCTCTTGTAATAACTAAAATGATTTTGATAACTTTTAAAATTCTCCGTTTTTATTGTGATATTGCGAAAAATCTGAAGAGCTAAAAAACAGACTTTGAAGAGTGGAAAAAGCACACCGCATTCAGTACTATTTATCTTATTCCCCCTCCCTCACCCTCAAATTTTGGGGAGCGGGGCTCGGGGCAGGTGGCTTATAAGTTGGCAAAAACAAAGGGAATATCTTTTTTTGGGAAGTCTCCTTTCGTCTTTTAGTCAATTCGGATATTTCGAGTAAGAGTCAAAGGAGACATTGTAAAATTTTGCAAGTTAGGGAGGACTTCGTTTCTTGCATTTTCGGAAAGCCCTTCGTGCGCCTGTCGGGGAGCAACGTTGAAGACGCAGAAGCTCCTTCATGTGAATGGAAATAATGAACAGGGTCAAAGAAGGTGCGTTTGCGAGAACTTTATACTCCACTAAACTCGAAGATCCGCAGAAACTTTTGTAATGAATAATGTAGAAACTGCGCCACTTTCACTAAAAAGAGCTTGAATGTCTTCAGTATGATTGCGGTTTTGAAAGGTACTGAGACTATTTTTTACAAGCCTTTTTTCAATTGCTTAGATATCTGTTTGCTTTCTGCTTCTTTCTACATTGAATTTCCGTCTATATGACTACTTTCGACCTTAAATCTATTTTGCTTCATTTGTTAGCTATTCAGTAAGCGCTTTTTTGCACTATCACAATAAGATTGACGACAGAAGAATTAGATCAATAAAGCATCTCGACAGTCGATAACCCCTGCTTCATGAAAGCTTGTGCATTAGAGTTTTTGAAACTGCTTGGAACACGATATGCGACAATTGTCTGCTATAAATTATCTCAATCTGGTTTATCCGACTACAAACTATATAGATGTTTTTCACTATGATCAAAAACAAGTTTCGGAGGATATCAGAAAAATTTCCTAAGTCAAAGAGAGTGGCCATGCCTTTTTTGATGAACTTTCGTTTTGGAGAGTTCTTGCATGGCTGAAAAATAACCTTCCAGTTGTCGCCTTTTTGATTTATGTATGTCATAGGCAAAATGTTCACTGCTCGAGGATAGAGGGCAAAACTTGCAAGTCAGAAGGTCATTTGAAGCACTCTTAGAATGCCCTTTGACTGTTAGTAATGTTGTAGTAAGGAAGTTGGTAAAACTTAGAATACTTTTGGGAGCACTAATGTGGTCGAACAATAAGTACTCCGTGAACAATAGCGGAAAGTGTAAAAGAAGAATAATTGCGCGGAAAGAATTAGTGTTTTATGTCGTTGTTTGCCGCAAAAAGTGACGAGCGCGGAATGACATACCCGTCTAAAAATTGTACATTCAAGAGATATTGCCTTGACCGTAGTAGTCATATCGTGTGCATATTTGATGATGATGATATTGCGTATCGCGTTTAAAAGCATTGCAAGTTATTTTCGCAGTATGCGACCCAATTTGCATCTTATTTTTCTATCGGCAAAATGGAAGCTATGTTTTATTACACCCAAAGTTTTTCTCTCATTTTTTTTTCAAGAGAAGCAAGTTGCTTGTCGCTTCACAGCGCGTTCTAAGCGCAAGTCTGAAGCAAAATTATTGGTTGGGATTCTCTTACAACGGAAGGATGTTTAATCGAAGTGACGTTTCAGATGAGATGCACACCATCTTAGAGGGCATAAATCGCTGATTCCAAATCTGCTTTCCTTTTATGTGGTGCTTCCATAAAGGAGATTTTATGATTTAAAGCAAAAAGTAAACTCAGCGGAGGAAAATTTATTGTCAAAATTTTCCTAGCTCAAATGAGGCAGCACTGAGTGAAGGTAAAATACTTGAAGCAAAGCAAGTTTGATTTAAGACTCCGCTAGTATTATCAGGCTGCCATCTTAGCCGCTCACTTCTCCATCTCCATGCTTTATTCTGGCTAATAAACTGTTGGGGAATACACAATGTCAGTAGTGTGGGCAAGGTTCTAATTTTGGTAAAAAAAATCTTTATAAAATTTTTTAGAATAAGATGGAGGGAATCCTTCGTGTGCACAAAATAACTCGCCTTCACTCCTTTCTATAATCTTTCAACTTGATAGGAAGTGCAAAATAATTAGTTGAAAAATCCGAAAATTTACACGGGCAAACGACCACTCTCAGAGCTTTTGTTTTAATCTTTACGATTTTTTGCTAAAATATCTCAAAGGCATTGCTTTTTATTTTCCACAGGAGCTACATGGGGGATAGTTCACAATGAGAGGGGTTAATGATGTCTTGGAAAACAAAGATCATTTTATCTAATGATAGAACGAATTGCCTTCTATACACAATGAACCCTAAATTTAGTTGATGGCTGCGCGGGAATTCGGAGCCAGCATCAAAAATATATGGGCCATATAAGACACTTTGTGATAGAACAGTTTAGTGGAGTTGTGGGAAGCGCTTTGACAAGAATTTGGACTAACCGTGATGTAGCATTAAAGCGAAATTCTCGCAAGACCCCTACATTATTTTGGTTACCGGGTTTACGATTTTTGAAAAATTTCGTGACCAAGAGTTATAGTGCTTATCTGGCCTATTCGGAAGCTTGAAGGAGTGACATAAGCAATCTCTACATTGATTAGTGCTTCTCATTACACATGGATTCAAACAAGTTTCTCTCAAGCTGATGCGTTCCCAATAGAGCGTGGGATTCTTTTCTGTTCCAAGCAATCAATCAATTACGAGGAATTAGTTCGATTTGCAATTCTTGTTAGAGAACAGTAAAACCTATATCAGACCCTACAGTATTTAGTACAAATTATATCTGAAAAGGGAGGCATAACATATTATCAAATGCTTCAAAATGTTACTGAACTTATGAAAGAAAGTGGCAAGAACAAGTGGAATAAATGGAGGGGAACCCATTCGAAGAACGAATGTGGTCACACTAATGGAAGAATTTGCGGTTTTGTCTACATAATTGGGAAACTCTTTGCGACAATATGAAGATGTTAATTTTGGTGAAAATCTGCTAGTAAACGAAGCATTGATCATTTTTGTTCATTTAGCAATATGACAAGTGTTTTTTGTTTTTAAAATTTTGATCAGAACCTTTTGCCCTTTTTGCGAGCAGAAAATTTGGTTTTCGATCGGTGCTGGTCCGTTAAGCTCCCATATCATCCGACTTAGCGGGTTGTTTATACAGACAGACATGCTCGCTCGTGCGAAGCTTATATATACTGTTTCAAATACTGTGAGGTCTTTGACCAGGAGTGCAAAATCGAGGTGCACATGGGAGATTGCGATTTGTTAATTTATAGAAGAAAAAATGTGTTCAGATGTGCTCAGAATGCCTGAGTGGAACTCGTAGATGCTAGGCCATTCATATAATTTTGTACCAATCGGAAACAAACAAGACTCATTTATGAAGGGTTTGAGAAGAAACCAAAATCAGTTTGAATAGCGAGAAAAACTTGTCGAAGAAATTACGATGTGAGCTTTATCCACTCGTATCCGTACGATACCAGCAATATTTGCTTTGACCACCGCTAGAAAGCGCTTATTCCCTTTTCCCTCCACCTTTACCATCAAATCGTATTAAATCAAACGTAGGTAATTAGTGCAAGGCTTGTGGATCAGCCTAATCAAAAGATCTTGAGGCTATCTCGCCGCAAATCGTGAACAAGAATGCTGAACGATAGATAGAGAACTGGCATTGATGTGATAAAAAGAATGAAGAAAAGAGATCATAATCTTTTTCTGACTGTTTGTAGTAACGCTGCGAAACGCGTTGCGAAGATCTTTTTCGCATTTGTTGGCGCATATGGTCGTAAGCGCTACTAGAAGAACGGACTATAAAACCTTCTACGCATGGGTTTTGTATTGGGGATGTTAACTTACCGGTGAATTGATATTGCCGAGATCACCGACATGTCGATTCGAATCATCTGGAGCACCATGCATCATTTTATGAGGATTGAAATGTCCAGCCGCTGCCACACAACCGTTACCCAGGTCTCCTTTCTCATGGACGTGGAAGCCATGAGGACCTGGCTTGAGACCGGATACTGTACCGTTGAGCTAAATGGATGGGATTTTGGAAATATCAAGATTTTGGCAGGGCGCCTAAAGCCACCCAATTTGGGACTAGTGAAGTTTTGAATCGTGCAATAGTGAAACCCCTAAGGTCATTGCTCAAATCCTGTTGCAAAAGATATATCACAAAGCGAGATTCAGCCCAAAAAAGTGATTGCTGCTAGGTTCGCCACGCCCATCAACGTGATTAGCCATCAATGAGCCCGATACTGGCCCTTGGAATACCTGAAAAATTTCGAAAACGTGTTTTTCACGGTGAATGGCGGTTTTTCGGCACTGCTACATACCTTGATCCTAGTTTCTAGCTCATTACATTTTGGCCAACCACGCTGAGGGCGTGGCGACCCCAGCAGCATCCAATTCTGGAGCGATCTTCTCGATTTGTAATAGATCTTTTGCAGCGCGACTTGGGTAGAAGCTTAGTTGGGGTTCCTCGGATTCGTGCGGATGCTTCTAAGGCGCGTTCATACCTTGACTAGCGTGCCAATTTGCTCGAAGTCGATGATTCCAATGTTTTTGGTCGGATTACCTCCTTTGACCGCTTCAAAGATGTAGGCGCGGGCTCTCATCACTGAAAAGTTTAGGGATTGACGAAATCTAGTGGGGCTATAAAAAGAATTCCGTACCTTCATTGGCGCAGTCGACCTCCTGCACATGAACACTCCCGATGATAGCGGATACAAGAAAAATTTCGGAAAACATGCTAAGTCAGTTCGAACGGAGGAGAGAACTCTCGGAGAGAACGTGGTAAAGCGCTGGTTCGCTGATGCAGTGATGATGGTGGGGGACCGGTTGTCACAGCAGCAGTCGTAGCAGCCAAAGCCGAAGTCAGTTGATACCGCCAGCATGATTTCTGATGGTCTCGACGCGTCTCCATCTCCGCCGATTGCACTATCTCTCCCGGCTTTTTCTCCACGAATCTCTTGTCCCCGTGTGGGCCGCCCCCAATAACAATATGTTAGGTAACTTTATGCAAAACCATGTAACTTGTTAGAGGCGGGCCACCACCATGGGTGTCGCATTGTCTGAGCTGAAATCCATTAAATGGAGAAATGAAATCGTGCTTTCGATGGTGGAGATTTATCAATGGAAACGAGATAGAAAATCGTGAAAAGGAACATTGCTGCGCGTTTCTTGTCCTCGATGTCGCGGTAGAAAACATAAGGGACAGCCGAACGTGGGAGAAAAGATACTGGATCATGGCCAAGTGCGCATTCATCGTATCTAGTTGACTTACCCTGCCCGTCCTTCTCATTCACGTTACGAGTAGAGTCAGAAGTGATAAGGGAATGTGAATGGGCAAGGTAAAGGAAGTTTGTTGAGTTTCTGGCCTAGGTAAATACAATTACACCCATATAATTTGTATGTAAACTTTCTGAAGGTATATATTTGTCAACGCGCGAAAGCTATAGAAAAGCCAGAAATGCGATTTTTTGCGGGAACCCATAATATTTGCCTCGGATTAGTACAGAGACTCTGTAAGCCATCCTAGGACGCCCGGAATTAAAATAATCTTGATTTCACTCGACAAATCTGCAAACGCCTAAGCCAGTTTGTGACTGACTCAGAAAAACCATCAGTTTGGAGAAGTTTGTAAGAGCAGTAATGACGAAATAGAAAGAAAACAATCTACGTCTATTAAGAAAAACGAGTGCGAGGAACAAAAGGCGTGCCAAAATTAAAAGCGGTAAAACATTGATCTTTCGTGCTGTGCTGTGCATTCTTGAAGCCGCAATTTAGCATAGAAATGGAATATAGGAACATCTCGAAGTTGCATTCAAATTTATGTCAAGAATGTTTCTTGTCATTAACAGGGCTAGTTGCTAGGGATAAAGAAGCTCATTCTTGTGCCAGCTCATTGCGTGCCAGCCGTGCCATTAAGAAGCTCATTACGTGCCAGCCCGTTCTTGCCCAGAAATGGACAAGAATGAGCTGGCACGTAATTCGGTCACTGCCTTGGCTTGGTTCCTTTTCGAATGTATTTTGAATTTCTTTTGCTGCAGCCAGTTTTATAAACCGGCTGTTTTTAACAGTTCTAACGGTCAGTGTAGTGCTATTCTTACGTCGCCGACAATGCTAAGGCTTACGCTTGAAAAATGACCGTATGACGCAAATCTTAAAAAGTGCACTCTACGGCTTTTTTTGGGGTGCAGATGTTACACAGGCACCATTTTTTTCATATCTGTTGGAGTGTAAATTACTTCAGCAATTTTTTGGCAAAGAATGAACTTGTCGTGAAAATTTATTTGGTGCAGCTGCAACATCAAACTGATGCTGAACTAAAAATATTGCCGTTATAGAGATCTTGAAACGCCTACTGATTTTGGGAAACCAGTTCAATTACCACTCTTTTGTAAGTTTTTCATATACAAGGAAAGCATGCAAAAATTGAATTAAAGCCTCTATCACTGGCAACCATATGCTGAGAACGCTAATGCAGTCTTTTTATCCCTCTCTTGTTTCAAAAACTTAGGGTTTATGACGCATGTCTATAATACCTGGGCGATTTTGATTTAAATTTGTGCCGAAATAGGCAGTATTTGTGAGGAGAAAGCTATATATGGCACAGACATAGCTCTGATAATGTCAGAAATGTATCGAGAGCTTGCGTTGTGGCCGAGAACCTCATGGAACAAGTTGTCAGACGAGTCTCGTATCAAACTGACTATCTGAAGCATTGTTATCTGTCGCGACGAGATCGAATGATCGAGTACTATGGTTGCTGATTCAGGTTGAGATATGCTTTACAAGTGCGAAAACATTTTTCGAGGTTACTTTAGTGTCTGTGTTATACAGGATGTCCCAAAAAATGTATCCAACCTTCAGTAACTTCCTTATATGAAAAGCTTTCGCGGATCATTAGATGCCATACTGGTAGGGCTAGCTTCGACTTAGATTTACAGTACAGAGCGAATCACCGATTCATCTTAGTTGTAGGATTACAGTAGGAATTTTCGACCAATTTGCTAAGGACGTAACTAAGGTCTTTGAGAATGCTGAATCTAATCACAAAATTTTCCCTTACTGCACTACTCGACTTCTTACGGTATGCGCATTATAACGCTGAATTTTGGCTTTTCTATAAAATTTACTGAACTTGCCTTCGTCAAGTCCAGTTGAACTTTGAAGAGTTCTTCAATCTTTATCAATTGCAAATAATGAATACAAATATCAAAAGATCAGGTTTCAAACACAACTAATGATTGGATTTGATTTGATTGATTTGAATGATTGATTTCGACGTGTTTTTAATAGCAACTTTGATTTAGTCATTTCTGGAAAAGACGAAAAATCCAGCGTTACAGTGCGCCTACCGTAAGAAGCCGAGAAGTAGGAGTGGAAAACTTTGTAGATTTAGCATCCCCGAAAACTTTAGTTTGACGTCCATCTTTTTGGAATTTCTTAGAAGCAGTTCTTGTGTGTCAGAAGCCTAGAATTAGTCGAAAATTGCTACGTAAACTCTACAAACTAAGAGAAATCGGTGATTCGCTCTGTATTGTATATCTAAGTCGAAGCGACTTCCTACCGTATGGCACACAAAGATCCGCGAAAGCTTTGTATATAATGAAGTTATTGAAGACCATACGTTTGATACATTTTTTGGGACGCCCTATTTAAGGAAAATTGATCTTGTCTGTAACTTGCAAAGATTCAAAATTACCTTAGGTAGGATTATCATGGTATACCGTGTTCACAGCGCAATCTCGCCCTAGTATGCTTTCATTCTACTAGCATCTGCAAGAGTGACGTTGGAAGCGTTGCTTAACTCTAGTTCAAGGCACTTATATGTAAGCACAGCTCAGTATTGTCTGCATTCACCACTCTGTTAGCTTTTGCGGGATTTTTGTAATAATTTTGTGGTCACAAACTTGCGTATATTCGCGTTGTTCCTTTTTTTATTAGAGAATGCTAATTGCCTTTAAGACAGTGTTCAGCGATCTATGAAAACTAAAGGGGACTTCGACTGAGCCATTGCCCAAACAGAAAATTATGTCGTTCATCCGTAGCTCAACTCTGTCTAGTCCATATCGTTATCGTTAGCGAATCAGCGTCTTTAGTTATGGAATACGTTCTGAGCTGGAAACTGGAGATGAAACTTTTGACAAAAACGAGTCATATAAACCCGCTTGGACAATGGCTCCATCATGGCCTCCCAACTTGTTTCATATTATGAGTCGATACCCAAGTAGAGGTATATGGACAATATCTTTTTACCTACTCGAGCGACGATAGAATTCCCGAACTTTATAGCAGCATAATACCGCGGTTTGTTAAACTGTGCAATTCAAAATCAGTTCTTGTTTTACTTTGGTCAGTTTGAATTGCTGTAATACATTCCGCATGTTAGCACGCTGTTATAGCCTAATCATTTGGCATGCAGTTGTTGGCTGACGGAAGTCATGTTCTGTGCAAAAATTGTTATTAGCATAGATTGCTAGGTGTTGACGCTGAACGAGTTTTCTAGCACGAGCGGAAGCTTGTAATAAACTTTGTGATAAAACAGTGTCCTACTATTTTTATCTCAATACGCATCCATCGTAGCATACATTGCTTGATGAAGAATATTGTTCGCAGGCAAGGGGTGCAAAATCACATTTAGGTTTCCATCGTTAATCATGAAATGATCTGTTTGGTTGGATTTGCTTTTGATTATAAAAGTATGACTTCTAAAAAATATCCTGAATACTCGATTCAGTGTTGTAAGCGGCTATCATCGCCCTAAAATTTGATCTTCTAACAAAATCTCTATCATTAATTACAACAGAAAACGTTCAAGTGGTGGGATCAAGAACTCCCTGTGAACTTTTTACGTCCTAATTACATCGATAATATCCACATTGAAGCACTTTTTGCGAGGTATCGCGAGTACTGATATGTTTTATTCGTAGTAGGAGCAGTTTTTACGCTAAACTCTATGAATTCTGTTTACTCTTTAATAAATTTCCTTCTAGTCTACCCTTTGATATCGCTTATGTTCATTTGATCGCAAATCCTAAGGGCATTTGGAAGCAATTTGGTTGTTTTTCGACTAAATCCAAACTTAATAGTTCATGTCAATTTTCAAATTTCCAGAAATTGCTTTACTATTTTTAACGTTCACTGAAATGAGGGGAAGGTCTAAGTTTTTCGTTTCAATTGAAGGAAACGATTAGTAATTAATTGGAGGTGAATTTATTATTATTTGAATTATTAGGAAATTTTAATTGAGTGTTATGAACGATTTGAATTATTATTATTATGAATTTATCATTATATGAATTTATTTGAATTTTTTCAGCCTACTTTCCACGGCTTGGAGATATTTTGTCTTGATTGCGCAAACTTCTTCAGATATCTAGATAATCTGAATGATGATTGCGACTTAGAAATAGCCGTCATTTGCCTGAATTATTCAGTTCGATATGAAAGCAAATGAATTAGCTTTGTGAAACCAGTCCTGTGGCTGAGAATACCATGAAAAAAACAAGCAATCTTACGGCTGTTTCTGTCTGAGGTTGTTTCCATCGAAGCTTTCGGTCGAGTATATATTGGCGAGAATGTGTAGGAGAGAGTTTTGAACACTTTATTGTTTCTACACATATTTAAACTTATTTCATATGCGTCTGCTTCACCTCATACTTGTTCTATAGTATTGAAAATATCCGAATCTATAAATTTATACTTTCCAGCATGTAATCCACCCTATATCTGTCTTTTTTTTATAAGAATAAAATTTTCACGCTACAATTTTCAGGCACTGATTTACTAGAAACTTCAATTGCTATCTAGTCAAAGCGAATGGGAATCCACAATCTTCTGCCATTTGTAAAGAATGCTTGTCGACAGGTGAAAGTTTTCCTTTTTCCCATCATGCTCACAAATGCATTATTTTAGGGGAATGTCCGAGAGTTTTCCGGTTGTTCTGTAGCTGTTGACGTTAGTTGTTTATTACATAAAGGATTGTTTGGTTGTTCGGAAAGTATAGCGCAAGGAAAGAAATCTACATTGTAGGTGTCTTTTTTCGCTTTTCATCCATCTTTGGTAATATTTTGCTTATAGTTACATTTATTATGTCAAGAAGCATATACGGGCGTTGCTCGACCTTGGTTGCCATGTCATTATGGTGTTTGATGGTCGCCCATTACCGGCAAAAAAGGTAATTCGCGTTCATGTAATTTCAAGGGTGAGGACGAAAACGCTATGCAACAAAAATTGCGAGGCTACATACAACAATATACATTGAATTCTTGTTTCTCATGAAATTTTATGATTGTTATATGATCTCTACCCTCATACTGGAAATCTGGTCAAGATCTGTTTACTTTTATGAGCATTTTTTTGCATTTGTATGCACTAGGGCAAGGTTAATTTACAGCAATAGGTCGGGTTCGCAAAACATTGCGATGTTGTATAAACTGAATTGGGAGATTAGCAGATCTTACAAGGGAATGATACTAACTTAGATTCGATTTTTGAGATGAAATACATATATTTGGAATCAGCTTGGAACACTGATTCCAAATATACTGTTCCTAGCTGCTTAGTATTATGAAACGAGTTATGGTCTCGTTTCTATGCAAAGTTTGCATGCTTCCCGACCTACTGCTGCTACGGTGTCGACCTCTAGGTGGTTTTGCAATTGTGTAATGCTCCTTTTCAAGATCGAAGAATTAATCTGTTGCTAGTTTAACATCCTAGCACTTTTTTCGAGCAGATTCTTATCTACACGTCGTCTTACGACGTTCAGAAGCTTGTTAGTTATTCATAAATTCAAGCCCATAACTCGCTTCGGAATGATGCTTAGCAGCTAGGAATAGCATGATTGAAATCAGCGTTCAAAGCTGATTCCAATTGTATGTTTCTCATCTCAAAAGGCGAATCTTAGTATCCTTCCCTTGTTAGATTTCAAAGATTCGTGTCATGGTTTTGAAAAAGTACTTGATATAATCTCCGTCAGTAATTTCATCGGAAGTCGAGAGAAAATTTCTTTGTAAAGTCTCGGTACTTATTGAAAGTTTTGGGGCTTCCTCGTAGAAGTCATCTGTTATAGATGATCATGTTATTCGGCATCTCTAAATTGCTATACAGGATGTCCCAAAAGCGTGTATACACTGTTTAAACGTTAATATCTCTTTACCCAAGGAGTCTTTTGCCCACCTTTAGGTACCATTTTGTAGAGCTGGCTCCAGCTTAGGTTTACAGTATGGAGCGAATCACCGATCGCTTCTTACTATTGCAAGATTACCGTAGGAACAGCTTACAGCGTCATTGCGGATTGGCCGTGTTTCGAGAAATGTTTCCAAAAAAATCTGAAAATCGGTGTATCAGGGTTTTCATGCTCGCTGATTTTATTAATCAACTTTTTGCGGGTTTGCAAAGTAATCCAAATGGCGTAATCACGATTTCATGGAGTATTGTTGAAACAGCTATCGCGGTTTACCTGGTATAACTTATAAAAGAAGCATTGTGGTAAAGCGTAAACATCATATTCGTTTCAGCAGCATAAGCTGACCTAGTATAAAAGTTTTCTGGTTGTTCGGTTTGCTTTCTGAGGTGGAATAGGGCCCTTAATGGCTCACAACTCTTCTTGAAGTTTTTACGCCTACAGTGAAGGGTAATCGGTGATTTGCTTCATGTTGTAAATCTAACTTGAAGCCAGGTCTGCAAAATGGGGCCTGGAGTTAGGCAAAACACTTCCTGGGAAAAGAGATATCAGCGATCAAACAGTGTATAAATACTTTTGGGACACCCTGTATATTGAAGAATTTCTCTTCTTCTCTGTAAACTGAACTGCGGTTAAATTTCGCTGTGGATCGCTTGCTGTACATCTAAATATCGAATAATAATATCTAATCACTGGCAGTGTGACGAAGATTGTCTCATGTGATTTTGATTGAGTAGGATTTCTCTGCACTTTCATCTCGATATTGTTCTCTGGGAAAATAACAAATTTTTTGAAGTAGGTTTACTGGTGTAAATTTTGCGCATTGTGTTGTTCAACACCGGTTTTATTCTACACTTTTGACCATGTGCTTTGCATGAGTTTTTCTTGAGACTTGTTTCAGTTATGTCACTAAAAGGCTAGAATTTCTTACACAGGAATTTTGGTTACATTTGATGATTGTCAATCTGATTTGTGCTGTAAAACTGACAACTATATGACTGATGGAAAAAAATTAGCTCGGTGGCATATTTTTATCTTTGTATCTCAAGCTTTTCTTCTCGATCTCAAACTCAGTTCTGGACAACATTTCGCTGAAAATCTTGCTTTTGGTTTGTATAGTGTGGACCCCGGCCAGCTTCCCATAGGTACCTGCGCGACGCACCCGCAACGCACGCCTTCAGTGCGTCTCCGTCCTAGCTTCCGATGGAAATCCTCCTTTCTCTCTCTCTCTTTTTGCTTTTGGTGTACTATATTCTCTCTATTTCAGGTATAAACAATTCGCGATGACCGGTAACGAGATTTCACGTGCGCTTATAGTTCTAGGACCTTCAGTCTTGTTTAGTAGTCTTGTCTTTTCCCTTTTTTGTCCGAAAAATTGAAATTTGATTGGATTTTAGATAATACCCCTCAAAAGTTTCTTGTATAAAATAAGAGTCTCTTTTGGTTTGATGTGCAAGGTATAGACAGTGTCTCAAGTCAAAATTGAGCCTCCCGAGAAGCCAATAGACATTTGTTTGCTTGAATGTCCACTTTTTTTGAGATCTTTGACCGCTTTAGTTTTTACGTCTACGAAGAGAAATGACTCAAACATGCTGTTGTTCTTTAATTTCTTTACGTTTACTTATTACAACCTATCTATCAGTGCAACTTCGGAATATCATCCATTGTTTGAATTTGAGGTGCTCATGGAGGTTGCCTGCGTTTCATTCTTGCATACGTCTCTTTCGTAGCGAACCTAGAGGTTTCCACTTTACATTTTTCTCCTTTGTGAGCATAAATATGCTCTACTGCTCATGAGTGAGGCGAGAAGCATCAAGAAGGGCGCGCGCTGCGTGCGCGACGCGGAAGTACCTGTGGGAACCTGGCCGGGGTCCACACTATAATTGCCTGGCAATAACGAGTGCCGTAAAACGCGCTTTCCCATATGTATCCGTTATTTACGACCATATGGTCACACTGTCGGTGCTTCTGTTGCGCACGTTTTTTTGGCGAAAATACAAAATAGTGCATCTTTCGAGGCGAATGTTGTTGTGCTAGTGTGTCCTAACCGGATACTTACAATGCTTTATGCGAATCCTCTCGGTTGTATATGGCCTGTTGCTTGTCGCTCAAATGTTTATGGAGTTGTGACTGTTTGGAAGTGGAGCAGCTTCTTCATTTGGTAACACTGTCGTTCAGAGTGAGAGGGGGGGGGGGGGCGCAGCATTCTCATTGATAAAGGCTTTCGTTGTTTGAAAAGCCCAATTCCATAACTTCATGCTATCACATCTTATTTGCTTGTTTTTCTTTCGAAGCAAGGAAAATTGCCCTCTAGTTGCCTGTTGGCAGCAGTCTACCAGACTGTCAGATATTTGAACAGATGAGACGAATAGTCCCGAGTTTGCATCGATCTCATAGCCCTAAAAAGTTGCCCTCCAGGAAATCGATAGTACACTAAATAACTAGGTTAGGACAGTGAATGGTGAAGGGTTTAGTCAGTATTCCATTGCTAATGTCAGCTCTTTAGCTTAATTGATCAGGAAATCTGCGTTATGATATTCCAGACCTATTTCTTGAGACATATGAAAGCAGAAAGGCTTTGGCTCACAAGGAAGCTATCCCAAGTCGCAATGGCGATTTGAGTTGAAATGCATAATATTAGATGCTTCGCGATGAATCTTTCTTTTGCGCGAGTTTCGAATCTTTCTTCTTTGTCTTCTTGATTCTTTGGAAGAAGTTAGTATTTCAATATGTGAAGTAATTAGGTTTTAGCATTGCTTCGAAGTCCAGCTTGTAAGAGTGTCATTGGCGTGGTGTTAAGTGTACAGGAATAAAGATTGGCTACGAGAAAGAAATATATTCACCAGAAACATGAATAAGTGTATTTGCCGAGTCTTGAAATATGGCAAGGAATTTTGCCAAATTTTGACAAACATGCATGATTTCTTCTACAGTATCCTTCAGCAGATAAGAAAGGTAGATTTGAAATCAGCTCTTTGCGCATCTGATAGATTTATTCCAGATCGCCACTGCGAGCTGAGGTCTTTCCCCGGTCACAGAGTAATTCGCGAAAACTTGGTTTTCGTAAATTTTGGCGCATTTGAGACCTAACTTCCAAACTCTGTGCCTGTTTATTAGAATTACACACACTAACACTGATTCAGACTCAGTTGCGGCCTTGCCATTTTCTAGAATATCTTTACTTTGTCAAAATAAGGAACTGATATCCTCGCGAAAGCAGACTCGGAGTTGGGAAGGTCCCAAAACTGTTAATGCAGTGGCGGAAATATTGCAACTTTGTGGCATTTGCAGCAGCCTGCAAAATCGCAAGTCTGGGGTTGTCTTCTTCAAACTCTTATGCTTGTTCTGATGAATTGCCGTCAGTCGTTAAAGAGCCCAAAATCATCTCTTTTATAGTGGTTTCCAAAGATGAGGCTAAGACAACACTAAACTAAGTTTTCACAAAAATATTCAGCAGAACTGCGGGTTTGATTCAGTACATCTGCTCTTTATACAGCTTCATGTGATGATACTGTTCTAATGAAGCGGGTTGTTAGAGCTGTCGCGTTCAAAGGTTTTGCTTAGAAAAAGCTCAGCTTGTAAAAGGGAAGTTCGTGTTTTTTATCATTACACTTCGTTGCTGTAGAAAAAACTTTTGTTTGCATTCAATTCCTGAATTTCGCTTAACGTAGTAGTGAGCGAATTTTCCTGGGAGAATATACTGGGGTGTCTCATAATTTTACCCTTTTTACCCTAGACATCAGCATTTCTCGAGAATGGGACACCTACAAAGGGTACTACACGAAACGTATTTTTGTATGTATGAGCTATATAATCACGTGTATGGGAGGAGCTCAGCACTTTTCTAGGGACGAAGTTTGCCATTTTACACCATTCATTTTTTCTTTATTTCTAGCCATGGAAAAAAAAATACGAAAAGTATACAATTGAATGTTCAATGTGTCAAGCATATGCTAGAATATATGGGGAATTTTTAATTTTTTGGGTCGAGATAAGATATTTTACGGTAAAGTTCTTTTTGACTGCTATCATATTTTACCTCAAAACTTTACGTCGAATGCGGATTGGGCAGACTACTGATAGCCAACTTGTAGAACTTGCTTTGCTCGTCGAACGGTTACTTAAGCCACATCAGTTGATGGAAAAATACAAAAAACGACGGCTATAATAAAAACGGTAAAAAATTATGAGCCACCCCAGTGGTATCATTCGATTTTTGTGGGGCTGAAAAACTCGGCCAATTGTTTTATTGTGTACGAAGCATGAGGGCAAGGTCGTGGTCCAGACATCGAATTGCCCCCAATGTGGAGCTTCATGTAAGGTGTGTGCTTCTTCCCTTTTCTACGGGAGCAGAAAGCATTAGGAACGACGTCCAGGCGGGTTTGGGCCCTGCTTTTTTATGTGAACTGTTTGGAGGGGGTGGGGATCATGTAAGCCGTGGATTAAGCTGCAGCTTATACTTTAGATTCGTGGCAGAGCAAGTCAACTTTGAACACCAGCTCAGACCGTGCTTTTCATCGTATCCAGAGTAGTTTGTCCGTAACAGTAAGAACACGGTCTGGGCTGTTCTGAGTGATTTCTAGCCAAAATAATGTGGGCTACCGCTTGGCACTGGCTTAGCTGAGGCCTTCCACTCCTAAACATCAACACAAGACCACAGGGGACCTGCCTATGTGTACTCTATACATTGGGACATAGATTTAGGAAGGGCTCTTGTTTTGAGTACTTACTATTGCCTATTTGAAGACTTTCTTTGCAGAATACCAATGACGAAAGGCGACAAAAACGTGCCGACAATGTTAGAGCTGCGGAAGTGCTTCTTTCGGAAGGAAAAGTCAATGAAGCGGTTGATAAGTTCAAACAAGCGACTTCCATCACGCCAGAAGTCGTCGAAAACACAATTGAGGTGCGTTTTAGATGCTTCGCACAGTTTTGAAGTATTGTAAAATTAGTTTTTTAGCACTTTCGAAAAATGGACAATGTCGATGTAATAGTATCGCCATACGAGTCCGATGCTCAGCTAGCATTCTTAGTCAATGAAGGTTTTGCTGATGTAGTAATCACTGAAGATTCTGATTTGGTCGCTTTTGGTTGTGAAAAGGTTGGTTCTCTGCAGTAATTGCAAATCAGAGGGGGGGGGGGGGAGGGAAGGAGAAGCAAGTTTTGGGAAATGGTCTGCATGGTTGCAAATTCGTTGCTAATTCAGTTCAAATTTTTCCAAACTTTTGCTGTTTTGCAGAATTTAGGCTTCAGGTACGGAATTTTGGAAATGGCTAGCTCGTTCCACTTTTGAATGGCTGAGTACTTGTCTTTTAATTTTTAAAAATGGACCGCTACATTTGCAAAACTTACTACGCCTTAGATCCAGGGATACTTTGAGGACTCTCCAATGTCGAAAATTTCTTCCCCTTCCCTCTCTACCACCTTCAAGCGCTACAGTTTTCATAACATATAGATAATTTAGTAATAAGACTTTTAGATAATCTTCAAATGGAGCTGCGATAGTGGAGACTGCACAGTTTACGAGAGGAAGGAGTTGCCACGATGCTTTTCTGGTGTCATGAGCTCACAATTCGATTTTACCAAATTTCGTAGGATTTGTATACTTTCCGGTTGTGATTATCTACAGGTAAGGATAAACTTTGAATACATTGAATAGCTCTCCCATATTGAGCAAGGATGGAGATATCGTCCTCGTTTCCAAACTTTGTTTGCAGGCGGGTTTACCGGGTATCGGGTTGAACAAAGCTTTAGCATTCTTTTCCAAGACATCGCGAACGGATCTCAAAATGGTTAGTAATCTGATTTTCGGATAAAAATCAGGGAAGATTGTATTTTCAGCTTTTACCTCGTATTCCAAGTTATCTGAATATGTCCAAGTTGACAGTTTCAAAGGAGTTTATCCAAGAATTTATACGAGCGGAAAATACTTTCATTCATCAGGTAAACCTAAGAAGTCTTGTCGAATTCAATTTTGTGAAATTAAGGTAGTCTTCGATCCACGGCAACGATGTCAGCGTCCACTTACACCATATCCAGCTCCCCAGAAACAGCAGTCTGATGAGAATGATGACGATGTGAGTATATAGAAATACAGGCACAGACAGAATTTTTTACGCAACTTTTGTTCCCAAAACCTTCAAAAATACTCTTTTTTTTTCAAATATATATATCATCGTCTTTTTTAGTTTGCGAGTTCCAACGATAAAGATGACTACTCATATGCAGGAGAGGTTCTGTCATCCAATCTCGCTGTGAGATTAGCATTGGGTAATCAGGTAAGCCTTTTTGGCACCCCCCCCCCCCTGTTAGCAACTGGAGCGAGTTCCATGGAAACTGGAAACGAGATGGACCTGCTTGGTGGAAATGGTATTGTTACTGTATAAAGCACAGATAAAAGCCAGACATGCGAATTGATTTTATCTGATTCTCTCGGCATCCGGTAACGCGGCTGAAGATACCCACACAAGAATTTGTCAATTTCACCGTTTTTTTTTCGTTAGTGACTGTGTTTTTATTTATTTATTTATTTATTCATTGAAACGTGCTCACATACGTATGTTAATAACAGGATTACCCTGAAAGGCAAAAGACCAACGAACAAATATTTGCCTTTCTTTCCAGAAGTCACTGTACACAGGGTTTTGGCTACCATGATTTTCTTAACCCTACTTTAGACCCTACTTTCTCTTCATATCATTCCTTGATTGCGTTAATCCTACAATACGGTTACCGTGATTCTATAGTCGGACTCTCATGACCGAAATAGATCTCATATTAGTAATCAGCAAAAACAACCTCAATTGATTTTTAGAAAAGTGTAGGATGGCACTGATCTTATGCATCATACCCTCCCTAGAGTGTTACGCTAAAAATCGTCATCTGAGTAAACAAGTGAATACCTTGAGGTGATTCAAATATACTACCATCTCGAGCAATGCGGTTTAATGGTTATACATGACCTTAACAACGCTAAGGTTTCGGTCGGAACGAGCAAAAATCAAAAAATTTTGGTTGATGTACCCCAAAGGAGAGTCTGCCAGTCAGAGCACTAAGTTCTGAACTCCTAGTACAGGCTTTCAATTTAACTAATTTACTTAAGAGTTAATGCAAATCAAATTATTGAATCAAAAACCAGAAACTAGTTAAATGAAACACTTATGATATATTGTAAAAATTGCGAAAATTATTCCATATTTGCGGCTTTATGAATGAATTGGACGAAAATTGAATTCTTGTTTATCTAGATTGAAAAATCTGTCATTATGGACAAGTTCTTCCTACCGTCACCCGTGCCAGAATGGTCTGTTTGGTGTGATCAGTTCGAAAGTTGTGGTAGGCGAAAGCGCCGCAACGAAGAGACAAAGAAAGAGGAGGAGAAGAAATGCGGCTCAGCATTCAAGGTGAATTCTGCAGTTATCAGCAGCTCGAATATTCTGAATCGTTTTCTTTCTTGCAGTTTAACTCACCATCGAAAAAGCGTGCAAAGCTTGACCCCACCACCATTGATGTCATTGATTTGGATATAGAAGACAATGCTAAAATAGCTGAAGCCGTTAGGCAGGGAGCTGAGAAGAATTTGACTGACCAGGGAGTGGAGAAGAAAAGTGCACAAGTCAAGAAGTCAAATTCTTTGAGCATTGAGAAAAAGGAGAATTCGGTAAGTTGATTGCGAAGGCGTTCTTATGGATGTAAGCAAGTTTTTGTTCAAGGAAGCTCGTCCAAAGCGGCTAAGGAATCAAGCAACCTGTGATTGGACTGTTGACGAGATCATGAAGGCTTATGGTTCAACAGAACAGGAACAGTCTAGCACACCTATGGCAAGCTTGCCAGGCTCAGCTGTAGAAAAGATGTCTATAATCGCTGCCACAAGTAAGACGATGCTTTAATAAATTCGCAATATTACGAGATAACCCATACTCCTTAGCAAAGACTGTTGCTTGGCTTGATTGCTCATCCGAAAAGAACTTTTGAATGTTTTGATCACAAAGTTTGATTTTCTGTTCGTCAGAAACATCTGTTATTTTTCTATTCAGCTTCTACACCTGCCACGTCTACTGCCACCAAAACATCCGTCATAACTACTTGCTCTGGCTCGGGTCGTAGCGCTTACTTTGTGAAAAGGTTCTTAAAGCATTTTAATTGACTCCTTGCAAACAAAAATGCTTTAGGACTGCAGGTTGCGCCAATCCATTTAGGAAACCGTTGGTCAAATCCTCGTCTCTAAATGCAAAAGTTGAGAGCAAGAATGAGCCGGAGGTCACATTTGTTGCTGACTATTTCGGTATGCCTTCAATGATGTTCAATTTAGGATAAAGCGAAGACTGAAATTGCGGGAAATGAAAATGAGGACAGATTGTTGTCTTCAAGTATCCCAATCATCAAACCGATAGGATGCCGAGCGTCAGGTCTGCATGCGAGTTTTTCGGGTTGACAATTTACACATCATTGAATTTCTGTTTCATTGTTACCATATGTGAAATGAAGCCTTTCAACCGTATGGTTGTTATAATTTTGAGATCTCAAAAATATTAGAGGTTTTATATCAGAACATCTGTGCAAAATTGAACATAATTAGCTCGCGGAGATCTAGTTTTTTTTACGAAGCTATGATGTTTATTGATTACTAGTTCGCAAACCCAGCTACTCCGTGCCCTGTCAGTATCATTTTCGTAATCACATGCTCAATTCTCTCTCTGTGCCAACTCCCAGCCTCGCAGGTCAAACTTTGCGAAAAATCAATAAAATCGATCTTGGATGACGAAAAGTAGCCTGCGACCCCCCCCCCCCCCACCTGCAAATGTGCGTGGGAAGTTTGATCAGAATCGGCTTAGAGATTGTACGTTTGATTAGAAACATATGTGCATACAAGTACAGACGGACGGACATGGACACAGCTGTATATATTAGGTCGTCCCGAAAGTTTTGTGGGTTCTTGATTACCCTCAAATCTTACAGATGAGTCCGCTTTTTGAACACAAAATCGATGAAAATGCATTCTCGCGCCGCCAAGAATCTTGGATAAGTAAGTAAGTATAAGTCCTCCCATCAGATAAGTCCGTCTACGAATAAATCCGGACTTATCTGACAGTCTTCGGCCATTTCTCAAGATTTCTAGTTGTAATGGAAAGAAAACAAACTTTCTGTAGGACGGACTTATCTGATGGGAGGACTTATCTGTGAAATTTTAGGTAAGTCACTAAAATTCATAGAACTCTGACCGACAACGACTTGGGTATTATTCAATCCATATATTTATCTTTTTTCCATAAGGCTCCCGCCAGAGTGCCGAAGCCATGCCAGCGCTACGCCAGCGCCGAGCCAGCGTTTCGATCGATACACGTGTATTTCGTGGGGGCGGGGTTAGCTGACCTAGTTCTCAGCCAGGACCCCGCCCCAACGAAATACACATGTATCGACCGAAGCGCTGGCTCGGCGCTGGCGTAGCGCTGGCATGGCTTTGGCACTCTGGCCGGAGCCTAAGCTACATTCTCTTCCCTACATACCTATAGTCATTGCGATGTTATCGCCAGCCTCTAAGGAATTCGGAATTCGAAGCCAGATTTTCCCTGTTTTTTGTAAATTTTCAGTTTTTTCTTATCTGAAGAAGCGCCGATAGTTATAATGTAGAGCAAGCTGCTTACATTATGCTGATTTCAGAATATATCAAGATAAAAGTGTGTAATAATCATTTCTTTGGGAAGAAACCGGCTTTCGAACACGTATAGCGCATAATAGTAGCGAAAATTCTGAAGCTGATTTTCAAGGCAAAAACCTATATAATTTGCACAACTAATATTCTTTAACGACCAAGCTTCAACTCGCATTTATACGTAGTTCAAAAATTACCTCAATTGCTTACAACAAGAAACTAATCATTGCTAATAATTAACTCACATAGTCCACTTCCAGATATTTTGTACCTCTTATCAGTGGCGGACTGAGAGAATGTTGCCAAGTAAAATTGGTAGGAAATATGACGAATTTAGCTTTTTCTATATCTTTTTGTTTCAAATGTTTGCATAGTTTTTTCACTCATGGAGAGATGGACCTACCACGTCCTGCTACAAACAATCGCCCTCAAAAGAATTGGAGCCTCAAATGTGGGATTGCTCTCAGCCCATCTTACTATTGGGCACAAAACGGGCTCATCGGAGGGGTATAAATTATAAACTGGAGATGAACTCCAATCTGCTCCATTGAATGTTCCCTTCACGTGAATTCGACGCGTGCGAGAACTCAGGCAGGGGTGAATCATTGTTCATTTTCCATTGATCAGCTCCTCGTCGTGGTTGCGATGAAATCAAAAATCCCGGATAAAGCGAGCCATGCAAATTCCAAACAGTTTCTATCACAAACGAATGAAATGGGATAAAGTTAATTTTTCTGCACTATGGACTTCCGCAGATACGAACCCTGTTTGCAAATTTGTCTTCGTCATACCCTTCTGGTCATAACGAAACTCTCTAAGAAAGCTCATTAAGTACATAATAAGAACAATTTATTGTGACAGAGAAGTTCAGCATATGGGGGCCCTAGTGGCGCCAGTTCCAAAGTAGCTCCCAAAGGGCTGTTTCCAAATATTCCCAATATTTCTCCTCGTAGCTCTCATAAGAATCTTCGAAATAGTAGACGATAGGTCTTCCATCCGTTCCTGTGACATATCTCACACCGTACTGAAAAAGCAGAATTATAGCAGGCAAGTGCACCGCGTATTACGAACCCAGTCCAACAAATCCCTAGGAGTTTCCTCGCAGATGGGTTCTAGTGGCCAGTATCTAATAATACCATTGACTCCACTCGCAAATAACAGAAATACAAACGGCAGCAGATGGTGCAGAAGCATGGTTCATACCCAGTTCTTTCTGTAACTATTAGTTGCAGTTTATGATGGCTTCTTACGAGAGAACTTTTTTCGTAACATTGACCTCACAGTATTCAACTTCCGTCAAGGTCTTTACCGTGTGCAAAGGTTCTTGATGCAATGACGTCATTTTGACGCAGAGGTCCAGACATCTTTTATAATTGCCATAGAAAGATAAAAAGACGTCGGACAAGGTCACGTACATCACTATTATCTTATATATAAAGCTGAATGTCTGTTTGTCTGTCTGTCTGTATGTCTGTGTGTACGTATGTTCCGAATAGAAAATTCCATTTCTGAACCGATCCGGACCAAACTTGGCACACATACACATCGGGCCCCGGCGGGTGTCATAGACCACTTTTCGTCATCGACCGATAACGAAAAGTGGACTGTGACACCCGCCGGGGCCCGAAGTGTATGTGTGGCAAGTTTGGTCTCGATCGGTTAAGAAATGGAATTTTCTATTCGGAACATACGGCGGAGCCGGGTAAGCCAGCTAGTATTCTATAATTCATTGAATTATAATCTAAATTTGAGTACTCGCGCTGCGTCGCTTTTGAAGAGTATTGCGTTCAGATATGAGAGGAAATTATTAGAGCTTTTTTTTTTTGAAAAAGCGAATCTACAGAGTACACACTAATTTGAAGTAAAACTCGATTTTGGTTGAGCATAGTTTTGCCGCGGTAATGACAAATTAGAAAGTAAGAGCAACATTCAAACTAAACTGTGAGAGGCATCTGTTCCACAACTTTATTAAGATCCGTTGTTTGAGCAGATGCTTGTGCACTATTGTATCTGTGACTTTGTAATTGTTAAAGTAACCCGATTCTGTACCCTCACCAATTTGAAGGGCGCTATGTATAATCAACGCATGCTAACATTATTATGGAAGCACTATCTGGAATACCCGGCTTTATTTGATTCCTATCGATATAACAAACATGATCAACGATGAAGCTCTCTTCCCAATTCTACACAACATTTTTCTGTCGTTCTATCCGTGTAACTTCTATGTAACGGTTCCCAGCCCCATTGCTTTTCAGTATGCTTACTTAGGTCGTATGCATTAACATCCCCGCTGAGGAGGGGGAACGCAGCTCAAAAGAGCTTCATAATCAAAGTTCTGGACATCTAGATTTTTGTCTATCCACCCGTAAGTGTTTTTACTACTCTCTCCTATGAACAATATGAACAGGAGCGAGGAGTTGTCCAAGCCACGTTTTTCAGGTCTTTCAATGACCCCTGTTGATTCCTAGCGGCGACCGTTTTTTCTTCAGCCATTTTTTCTTTTTCGATATAATTCAAAACGTTCCAGAGTTGTATTAATTATCTGAACCAACACTATTAATTTTTTTGGCAAGAACGGATGTTCTACCGAAGTTATGAAATCTGCGATGAACCAACCACAGATCGAAGGTTGGGGTTAGTCGAGAATCGATATTTCAATACCTCATTTATTGTTATTAGCAACATGCTTATACTTAGTACGGTTGGGTTACATACTCAGTACCACTCTGGAATGTTTTTATTAATTTCGAAGAAAGAAAAATGACTCTGAAGAAAAGACAGTTCGCCGTCCGCTCATCCGGGGATTCATACAAAGCTGAAAAATCCGTACAACTTCTCGCTCTTTTTCAATATGTTCGTAGTCAAGGATAGTAAGATTACTCTCGGATAGGTAGACAGCGCGAAATCCAGGAATATGGAGCTTCAGGATATGAAGCTTTCTTTCGATGCGATCTCCTCCGACGGGGATATCAATTTATGAGACCCTCAGCCACCGCTCCCTTTCCCTGTATCAACTCCCCTCTGCCTGAAGTCTGAAAAAAACCATAAAGTCAAGAGCTATGTGACTGAACAAATTGTTACTTTTGTTATCAACATGCTCACTTATCCTGCCACCCCCGTGCCACCCACTTTCTAGTATTTCTGAAAAATTGATAAAATTAATGTAAAAGTAATAGGTTCAAAGGTCGTATCATCGTGATCAGCATGCACCTACCTGCTGTACCAATTCCAAATCCGGTTGTTTGCAAGTCGATAAAATCGATTAAGACGATCGATAATTTCGAAGATGATTGAAATGTATCTGTAAGTCGCATGCTCACTTGAACATCCGCTCCCCTCATAACCAACTTCCAGCCCTGCATCAAAGTTTGCATCAATAAAATTATAGAGCGATGAAAACTAGCCTCAAAATATTCTCTTTGTACGGTAGAACCTACTTGGTAGACTGGCGTTCATACGATTTGGGATCGGGATCCTACTACTCGTCTATATGTTGCTAGATGATTGTTTCAAAGGCTGTCACGAAAACGCATTTATTTTTTTACAATATCGTTCCATTGTGTGGTTTCAAAGTGAGATCTGATTGTAATTTCACATAAGGTTCCCTTTGGAGTGGATGATATGTGAAAATTAGCATGTCAAGTATCCCTGTATGCGCAGTTTCGGCAAATTCCGGATTTTGACACTATTGTTCCGAAAGTTTTGTCCGATTTAGTTGCCTGTTTTTACCGCAGCTATTTTGCACTTATTGCATTATCATGATACAAACTGGAAGCACTTTTCTTTGCTACTTCCAAGGCTTACTAATTCGTGATGAGCTTCTCAGTGACGGAATTTCAAGCCCTGAAATTGAGCTGCCAAATGCAGTTGTGCTCGAGAGAATGTTTTCATGAAGAGGATTATGTCCGCTGTATCCCTAAAATCACCTATGTAATTTTATATTGAGTAAGGATGCAATGGGCTAACATAAGCGCGCTTTCCTCACATGGAATTGCCTTAATTTCCTAATCTGCCCTCAAAAATTTGAGACAAACTCAAATTCTACGATCGAGACCAATCTACGCATAGGAGAAAGCTATTTATTTAATATTGCATATATTAGAGTAGAGCGAGACCAAGCACGGACCATCAGCCAAATACCTTTTTTGTTCGCGACAACAGCAAAAAAACAAGTATTGAAAAGTTGGCATACTTGCACGCTTGGAGGAATGCTCAAATTATGCCTTTTTGATTTGGCATGAATATCTTTAATGCAGCAAAGACAACTTAAAGTTTTCTTTAGTCATAAAATAATCTCTGGAGTATAGGCTACATAGTGATGACAGCCAAATATGTCTGGCTATCCTTATATGGGAGCATTAGTATGTCAATTAGAATGTTTTGAAGAAAACATTGATGAATTCTCCAAATATACTCTTACCTTTTGCTAGCCTTTTGCACAAGACATACTGTATGCCTAATAAGATTGAGGTTAATCCTGCAAAATTTGGTTATTTATAAGTTTTGATTTTGAAAAAAAGTTATAACGTTTTAAATCGGAAAATCTCAAGTCGAACAGCTATTAGTATTGCATGCATGAATGTATCAGCATGTCAACTAACCCCCTGTGCAGCGTTCCAGCAAATTTAAAACTCTGACTTAGATTGTACTAGCTGGCTTACCCGGCTCCGCCCGGCCCTGTCAAAACACTATGATAAAGCTCTCATCTCCATTCCTGTACAACGTTTCCTTGTGCCCACTTCTACCTATCAACTCCAACTCTCTATTCCTGTGTTAGTTATCAGCCTGCTCACTCATCCCTATGCGATTCCCACCCCGTATCTCAAAATTTAAAAGAAATCGATAAAATCGAAAAAAGTAACGGATAAAAAAGAACTAATATTGTATGCGTGACCAGCATGGTCGATCCCCTGTGCCAACTCCCAGCCCTGAAGCTCAAACTTTGCAAAAAATCAATAAAATAGAAAATAATGGATAATCCCGAAAACTAATACTGTATTCGTAATCAGCATGCTCGATTACCCTCCTGTGCCAACTTCCAGCTCCGTTGGTGAACTCAGCAAAAAAATCGATAAAAATTGATAAAATCAATATCGATCGATGACGAAAAGTAGCCTATGACACCCGCCCGGCTCCGAAGTGTATGTGTGCAAAGTTTGGTCAGGATCGGTTTGGGAATGAAATTTTCTGTTCGGAACATACGTACAGACATACATACATACATACATACATACATACAGACATCTTATATATAAAGCTGAATGTCTGTTTGTCTGTCTGTATGTCTGTCTGTATGTCTGTCTGTGTGTACGTATGTTCCGAACAGAAAATTCCATTTCTGAACCGATCGGGACCAAACTTGGCACACATACACTTCGGGCCCCGGCGGGTGTCATAGGCTACTTTTCGTCATCGATCGATATCGATTTTATCGATTTTTTGCAAAATTTGAGCTACGGGGCTGGGAGTTGGCACAGGGGGGTAATCGAGCATGCTGATCACCCCCGTGGGGGTGATCAGCATGCTCGATTACACCCCCTGCCAAATTCCACCCCCCGTAGCTCAAATTTTGCAAAAAAAATCGATAAAATCGACAAAAGTAATGCACGGTTTCGAAAACTAATATTGTATTCGTAATCAGCATGCTCGATTACCCTCCTGTGCCAAATCCCAGCCCCGTAGCTCAAACTTCGCAGAAAAATCGATAAATCGACATCGATCGATAACGAAAAGTGGACTGTGACACCCGCCGGGGCCCGAAGTGTATGTGTGCTAAGTTTGGTTCGGATCGGTTGAGAAATGGAATTTTCTATTCGGAACATACGGCGGAGCCGGGTATGCCAGCTAGTTCAACATAAGAGTATACTGGAGGGATTGAATATGAAGCTTATTGCAGAATATTCAGAAGTTCCAAGAATTTACGGCATTCCTAAAATGCACAAAAATCCAATCAAGTTTAGATTCATAACCGGAGCAAGAAGAAGTACTCTAAAACCTGTGACAGTAACGCTAAAGACGATACTGTCACACTTTCGTGAACACTTCCAAAACTACTGCAAAGTTATTAAGTCAAGAACTAATATAAAACACTTTTGGTCAATAATCAATAGTAAACAGGTAGTAGATGAATTGAGAGAGTGTAACGGAAGACTTCAGGTATATTCGGCAGACTTTTCCAGTTTGTTTACGAG